GCGTTCGGCCTTCGGCTGGCGCTTCGTGTTGGACTCTCGCCAGTCGCGCCCAGAATTTTGTGCAGCTTCGTGTTTTACAACACTGGGCCAGTGGTTCGTTCTGGCTGCTTTTCTGCTGAGCGCCTCGACGTCGGCGTCCAAGTCCCGAGTCCGTGTCCGTGTCGAGTTGAGTTCAGACGTTTGTCCTCGTCAACGCTGTGTGCAAAAATAGTTCAAAGCGAGCCATAGATACATTTTCCCAACACACACACACACCGATTTCTGGTAATAATATAGTAAAAAAAAAAAATTATGCAAAATTAAACAACAACCAATTCGACGGTGCCTAAAATTATTAAAAAATTATATAAAAAAAATATGAAAAAAAAACAATTGTGCTTCAATCTGGCGTTGGGCGAAAAAAGAGGCGTAGCTGCAAAAATCGAAGCCAACTTTATGCATATTTCTTGGTGTAGAGAGCGCGTCGTGTGCGTGGCTCTGTGTGTGTGTGTGTGTGTGAGTGTGTGTAACGGCAAATACGTGTTTAGAAAATATATATATATATATTATATATGCATATACTATATATAGTACAAATTCTTTATCAAAAAATAAGTTGCGCATTTTTTGCGAAACAGCACAAATTTAAACAAATAATAGCAGCTGAATCATTTGCTCCGACACACACACACACGTACACACATGATTTTGGCCGTGTTTGCTTGACACACACACACACACACGCTAACACACACAAAGGCAGCACAACAAAAAAGCAAACCCTAAATAAATACTCAAAAGTGAAGGCAAAAAGGAGTCTGCTGCAACGCGCGTGTGTGTGCGCGAGTGTGTGTTTGTCTGTGTGTGTGCTTGAGTGAGTGTGTCTGTGTGTGTGAGTGTGTGTGTATATAAACGTTTGTTTGCCTGTGGTTGGGCACTCTGCATAAGTTAGGAGCATCGCACCGCGACGTCAAAATCGTCGACGGCGTCTTCGTGCGCGTCTCCAACGCTCGTTTTGGCAGCCGCCTTGCGGCACCCCTCGCCCATCCACCCCTTACCACCCCCCCACCCACTTTCGTTGCGCCCTTCCTTTGCTAACTTGGCTTTGTTTTATTTTGAAGCAAATTGTTGGGTTGTTCGCTCGTTGATTAGCCTGATGAGGCAGCCGGCCCGCATATGCTTTTAATTGCCAAAAACGCGCAGACCCACATATCAAGGCACACACACACACACACATGCACACACACTTGCACACATACAGCTGGTTTACTGCTGCATATCTGTAGATAAACGAGGCATAAGCACAGTCGCTCATGATAATGATACTGGCCCCAAAGCTTAAGGGCTTAAAGTCTTAGCCAGCACCTCAACGCTGACAGCTGGGCGTAAGGAATATTTAAAGGCCTTTTTGAAAGCTGGCCAAAAATTGTTGGTATATTGCAAGTAATTTCGGTGCTGCCATTAAAAACTTTGCCAAAAAATACTGTGAGTTGTCTATAAAATCTGATTAAGTAATTTGCAAGTTGGTGACCATTAAATATGCAAAGACTGGGCCAAAAGTAAGGCGTACGCCTGCATATTAAACAAGTAAATCGGAAGTGCTCGACTAGGAGATACCCTAAAATCAATCTGGTTTACTTCTATTCATAGACAACAAGACACAGGGCCTTAATATTTCATACCAAAATGTTTTCATATCAACGCCCAAGACTATATGCATTATATAAATCGTGGAGACTTGAGTGAGGCAATCAAAATGTGATATATGATAGATTTATGTTTACTATACACACTATAAACACTACACATCCTATACATCCTATACATACTATACATACTATACATACTATACATACTATACATACTATACATACTATACATACTATACATACTATACATACTATACATACTATACATACTATACATACTATACATACTATACATACTATACATACTATACATACTATACATACTATACATACTATACATACTATACATACTATACATACTATACATACTATACATACTATACATACTATACATACTATACATACTATACATACTATACATACTATTCATACCATACATACTATTCATACCATATATATTATACATAATTGACATTCTATACATACTATACACAGCATACATGCTTACGAAGTTGCAAGACTTTCGCAACATATAGCTATATCGAACTGTACTCAAAATTTCAAGTCTCTAGCATTTAAAGTTCTCAAGATGGTCAGACTCATGCAGACGGACAGACAGACAGACTCTTCTTTTGATGCTGATCAAGCAAGCATATGCCTTATAGGCTCAGAGATGCCTCCTTCTGTGTTCTTCTCCTTCTACCTACATTTTCACAAAGCTTTTCTGCCGTTAATAACCTTTTTTAATGGGTTTGGGGTATAAGAACATTCCGTTTTGTAGCTCATCAAATATGTAAAACTCATTAATAACTCGCAGACAAAGGCCCGGCTGTGTACGCAGTTTTAGCTGCAGCTTAAATACGTCTATATATAAATACAACAACTGATATTCATATCAAACTTAATTAATATACCAGAAAACTCTTCAGCCAGACTCTGTACAGTGCATTGTGTATGTTTACATACATGTGCATGTGCTTATGTAATTTATTTGGCAAAGGCAAAGGCTTAGCTCGTATGCTTTTTAACAAGTTGAACAACAGCAACAGCCATGGCAACAATGCACACACATACACACGCTCATACAACAAGAACAACAACAAAAACAACAACATTTTAGCGGCTGGCACCAAATTTAAATCCTTTGCCACCAAATGCAATCAAAGCAACGAGGCAAAATTTTGAAAGCAAAAGCCACACACACACACATACGTAATACACATACACACACAAAACCAATTAACGAGATATGTGTAGGGGAATTTTGCAAAAACATAAAAAGCATATTACAATGCGGGGGCGAAAGGACGCGGCGCCGGAAGGAGCCAAAGCGGCATACAAATCAAATGCGCTTAGAAAAAAACAAATAAAAGCTAAAATTACAAAAAAAAAAAAAATAACACACACACAACAATACAAAAGCAAAAGGCCTAAAACACACACACGCACACACACACACACACACACAGAGCTAGCAGCTAGTGGCAGGAGCCAAGTAGCAAGCGTTTATGCTAAACAGAGTGTAACTGCCGGGGTTGCCACAGTTTGCCAGTGACATTTTCTGCAAAAGCCAAGTCCAAAAGGGAACAAAAACATGGCCCAAAGCGCACAGCACGGCCAAAGCGACAGACAGAAGCAAAGAGAGAGAGAGCGAGCGAGGCGGAACGAGCCCGAGCAGGCGAGGCGAGGCGGAGGTGAGCGCGCCTTTGCAGCCATAGCATACTTACAGGCGCTGCGCTCTCTCACTCTCACTCACTCTCTCTGTCGCACACAGGCTCAGGCTATTTTTGGCTCCATTGCGCTCTCTCTCGCTGCTCGCGCTACGCTCTCGCGTCCACAGCCTGGCGCTGAACAACTGTCAACGGTTCTGGTCCCGTTTGCCAACACGGCCAAACGGCTTTCAAACGCGCAGCTGAGAAAATGTAACGGACGCAAGCAGCAGGGCAGAAAAAAAAATAGAAATAAAAATAAAAAAAAATAAAATATATCTAAGGAAGACGAAAGCTGAAGAAGAAGAAGCAGAAGTGGCAAAAAACCAAACAAAATTACAAGTATACAAAAGAGCCTGCTCATAACTCTGTGTGTGTATGTGTATGTGTGCATGCGTGTGTGTGTGTGTGTGTGCATGCGTGTGTTTATGTGTGTCAGTGTGCCTGCGTGCCTGTGTGTGAGTGCGTGCTTATGTGTGTCAGTAGACTTTTACGCATATGCATAGATTTACTTCGAAACTTTCGAAGCTGAACAAATTTGGATTCAAGCCAGCTGCGCTTCAATCAAGCCGTTATTTTTATATATATATTTAAAAATTATAAACTTGAAACAACTAAAAGTCAAGACTTTCGAACGAAGTGAATTAAAATACAAAATTAGACAACATAATTCGGAATATCAAATAAAATTAACAAACAATATTTGAAGCCCTCAAACTGCTGACAAATTTATATATGAAAAAGGCTTAATTGGAATACAAGAAAAATTTTGGAATATATAAAAACTATTTAAATTAGAACTATAATAAAAATTAAAACATAAATAAATAAAAGACATATAAATATAAAATATCAAATAAAGTATCTTAACAAAATAATAAATAAATTACTTATCATTAAATAAATAAATATTTCAAAATAACGATAAAGTAATGAAATTACATAAAAAACCTAAATTGGATAATAAATATACATACATAAATTAAAATAATTAAATAATATAAAAAGGCAATAACACAAATATTTTGATTGGAGCTAATATCCAAAAATTAGATCTAAATAAAAAATTTATAAATAAATAAAAACTTTGTTCAAAAGAAATAAATCAGTAATCAAATTAAGATAAAATAAATAAATATATAAATAAAATAAACTAAATAATATATAAAACAAATAATACGTGAAACAAATGTTTTAATTAATGCAGAAAAATATTAAACTTTTATAAATGAAACATAAATAAAACTATAAGTTAAATAGTAAAAGTCATTTTTAAAAAGAATTCAAATAAACGAGAAAGTAATCAATAAAATATATAGAACTATAATATACTCATATGTTGATAAAATTAAGTAATATTACATAAAACATAGTTTTTGGAGTTTTGTGACCTATATCATAAAGCACATTTAAAATAGAACATAAATAAAAAAAAAAGTTGACATATTAAAAACACACAAAACAAACAATAAGAAAATACAAAGTGTATTATACAAATTATATAATTAACGAGCGAATATAAATTTTCAAATTTAACCAATGTGTGCTTTTAATAAATAGTTACAAAATATCACAAAACTAACTATTGAACAAAATAAATTAAAATAACAGAAAAATGTTTCAATATTAATTCTACAAATTTTCAGTGTTTTTGAAATAATAGAAACTAAGAAAAAAGTAAAAATACAAACAAAAAAGAACACTCAAAATTATTGGAACCAAAAATCGTAGTAACAATGTCAAAAGTTAAAGCCAAAGGCAAAACAAACAGACGAACAATTCCCAAACCAAACACATAAAATGAGACAAGTCGCCTGCAACAACAACAACAACAACAGCAAGAGCAAAAACAACAACAGCAACAAGAGGCGCTGGTTACAGGTCGAGGACAATAAAGGCGCCGTGGTACAATAACAATAAGCAGGACATTAAACAGGCAATGGAATGGAGCGTCTATTTGGATGACGAACTGAAGGACCGTAAGCGAAAGATAAAGATGAGCAGCATACCGAAAAGAGCCTAGGCACATACGCAGCACATAAAATGTGCACACTGAACAAACGTAGAAGGCTCAACGACCAGAGAGAAAAGTAATTAAAAGAATATAAAAAGCAGACACAGGCTGAAAAAAAAAAAAAGGCAAACAGAAAGTTAACGGATGAGCGCAGCAAAACGGAGGTGGGCTAACAACAACTTTGGAGCAGCAACTGGCAATTGATGTGGCCGAGGACAACAGCGCGCAGCAGAGCAACAACCGACACGAGAGCAACAGCAGCCGTTGTGAGGCAGCAGGAACAACAGGAGCAGCAGGAGGCAGCAGTTGGAACAGGAACAGGAACAGTGGCTCATGCCAGTCTGCCCATACCGAGTGCCATTGAACTTGAATCTATATCGGATTCGGTGCTGTTGTGTCAGCTTCTGATGCTACTCGTGCTGGCATTGTTCTGGTTGAGCTACGCCTGGCCGCGCAGTCAAACGATCTCGCACTGGCAGCGCATGCATTGAGACACAACAAGCAGACAATTTGCAAAGGAAAACACATACAGACACAAACACACACACCCACACACAGACACACACACACTCACACGCATGCACTGATGTACTGACTGAATGCCTCGCTGCCTAAAACAACCAACTAACTCACTGACTGAGAGACTAGAGCGCCAGAAGAAAGACAAGAAGTTAAGGGAGAAGCTAGCTAGAGCAGAAGACTCAACTCAACTGTACCAGAGGAAGCAGAAGAAGCTTTACTTAACTAATTACTGCAACTGTAACTAAAACATCAACTAAAACTTACTTTATAAACAAACAACAACCAAACAAAATAAATAATACAAAAAACCTTTTTAATGCCACGCAACTAACTAAAGCAAAAAACAACAACAACATAAAGATTTTTAACTAAGCAATAATTCGCACCCACGACTACCAATTACAACCTTCCAAACTTTGTGACTTTGCCACCACGCACCACAACAACAACAACAACAACAACAGCAACAACAAAAGCAACAACAACTTGCACCACCATGAGTGTTTCAGCAATGGATAAATTAACAATACTGACGCCCCGCACCCGCACACCCCTGCTAACAATTTGGCTGGCCATAAACATGGCGCTAATCGTACAGGAGACGGGCCCCAAACGGAGCACCACAGTGCAATCTGCGTAAGTTTTGATTGAGCTAATTGATTGATTGCTTACTTTATATTTAGCTGTCGCACGAAAGATAGATTACGCTTGCAATCAGGTTCAAACCAGCATTGAACTGATTCCAGAACATACTAACAAAACTTGATTGATGAACTAATTGATTGATTGGGTGATTGATTTAAATACTCAACATTTAGCAGACGTATTAGTTATTGATTATACTCATAATCAGACTCTAAACGTTTTTCAAGTGGATCTTGAGTGAAGTTTTGCTTAAATCAGTAAAACTTGAATGAACCAAGTGTTTGATTGATTTAATGACTGATTGATGTTAAATCTTCACGCAAAGCTGCAGTAAAAGGAATTTATAAGGCCTAAAATCAGGTTTAAACAATAAGTAAAATTTGATTGAACCAATTAAATAATTGATTGATCTATTTATTGATGATGCAAAAACATCACATTTAGTTGACGCATTAGAGATTGATTATGGCTAAATTCAAGCACACCTTGATTTTATATTGGTTCTTGCACGAAGTTTTGCTGCAATTAGTAAAACTTGATTGAACCAATTATTTGATTGATTAAATGATTGATTGAAATCTTTACACTTATCTGTAGTATGAGAGATCGATTATGCTTCAAATCAGGTTCAAACCGCGTTTGAATTGGTTCTTGAGCGAAATTTTAGCAGTAATCTCGATTGATCCAATTGAATGATTGATTGAGGTAAAAACTTAACCTTTAGCTGTCGCAATGGAGATTGTTTATAGGCAAAATCAGGTTCAAATCAGTTTTGAACTAGTTCTAGAACAGTGCGCTACTACAGTTAGTAGAACTGGGATTAAATGATTGACTGATTGATTTTAAAGATAGATGCCCCTACTAAACTTCCATTACTTTTTGATATCTAAACCGATTTTCATGAATGAGTGCATTTTGGTAATGTATTTCCCCCTGGACATAACTTTGCAAAGCTTTGTCATTTGTTAATCTCGGCTTAGAAAATATATGCATATGATAAATAGGATCGCCAGAGTCTCTTTCTGCTTATTTTGGTAATGTATTTCCCCCTGCACATAACTTTGCAAAGCTTTGTCATTTGTTAATCTTGGCTTAGAAAATATATATATGCATATGATTAATAGGATCGCAAGAGTCTCTTTCTGCTTATGCAAGATGAAACCCATTTAGTTTTTTACCCCAGATTGAAGTAGACATAAAAAACGCTTCAGTTGAATATTTTAATAGAAATAAATTTATTGTTGCGGCACTTTGCTGCATTGCACAACTGCAGCGGCCCCTGTGTGTGTGTGTGTGTGTGTGTGAGTTGTGTGTGCCCCAATGGAGTCATAGTTCACGATAATTTATGATTATACAAAATTAGTTGACTGCAAAATGCGCAACGTGTAAAAGCTGAGCCTCGGAGCTGGTCAACTGGGCTAATTAGGCGCAATGACAGCTTGTTTCGAGCGGCGGGTCAACAGTAAACTACTACAGTGAGCACTACAGCTGAGGACTACCATTTTTTTTTTTTAAATGAATGTTGGCAATTTATTAAGCTCGTCATCGTCACATTTGCATGTGGCGGCTATTAAAATGCGACGGGCCTGAAAAATGACAACTGCCAGGCGCAGCGCTTGTAATTACCAACTAGTTGAAGGGCTGCTTGGGCGGGTGGGGTGGGGTTGGCTTGGGGATTTGTTGAAAGTGTGTTCGGGTTGTTTGGTTTTCGGAAAGGTGCATGCGACATATTTGATTAGCGGCCCAAAAGAATTGTACACAATTTGTGGCATTTGGCAATGTTTTTCTTTGCCTTTTCGAGTTAACGCTCATTAGGCCATATTTAGGTGCAGCCTTGCAGGGCGGGGACGGCAACAGTGCTGCCAACTGTCGACTGAAAAGTAGCTGAATTTTTAAAGTGCTTGGAGTAGAGCGGAGCTCTAATTAACCCAAACGTATTTCGGATACTCCAACAGTTATTTCGCTCGAACGATTCTGGACTTACATTCAGTTCGAGTTGCTTGAGTTGCAGGCAAAACAATTGAGTCTGTTGAGTCGAGCGAGAGCTCAGTTCAATCTTAAAAGTAAGCCCGAGCTGATGGAGCAAACGAGCTCCAAACTCGACTGTTTTCAGTTGTGTTTAAGCTAATGGTACATACATGCATTATCTTACATTGACACAACACAAACAAGCTTAGATCGAACATGTTGTTAGACTCGAGCAGCTCGAACATGTTGCTGAGCAGCTCGAACTTTGTTTATGGGATCTTCTTCGGGTGTGGTAAATCCTTTATTCGAACACGGCTCAGTTAGAAGCTCAACAGCTAGCGCCTGTCGGTTTTCAGCTAAGTCGATTGAGTATTCCAGTTTGATGCAAATGAATTATACAAAGCAAAACTTGTTTTCTTTTAAATCAACCCACGTCCTTTCTTTAGAGTATTCAATATATTTCGAAATAGTTGAACAAAAGCTTGATAAAAATAGCCTGTTTCTGTCGAACAAGCTCCGAATATAGCCAAATTTAGCTAGAAAATGGCTGAGTTCTCAGCACACACATAGACAAGATTTGCATAAGCCGCCCAAACAGGCAATTTAAGTAAATCAAAAGGTTTGGGGGCAACTCCAGCGGCGGATAGGCGACTGCCACTAACTAGGAACTGAGACGTACAAATGCACGTTTATGGGCTTAGCTGATCGCGTGTGCTGCTAAAAACAACAAGGGGTTTGGGGGGCAGCAAGCGGCTGGCGGCAGGCAAAGGCAAATGTCGTGGAAATGTGGCAAGTGGCACGACTTTAGCACAGTTGGCTGCTTATTTGGGCCAGGCGGTGCGGCATTGGAGTTGAGTTTACGCCACTTTTTCATGCAACATTGCACAGGCGACACGGCCGACACACAGACACACACACAGAAACCGTGCAGCCTTGCACACACACACACACACACACGCGCGCAGCTGCCGCTAAGAAAGGTTAAAGGCCAAAGCAACACAACGACACAATTTGCCCGCACAAAAGTCCAACGTCTGCTGCTCACTTTTAGACCCTTCAACTTCCTGCCCGGCTGCCTGCTGCCTGCCTGACTGCCTGCCTGCTGCTGGAGACTGGGCACACGGACTCGGACTCGGACACGGACACGGACTGGCACTGGCACTGGTAGCTGCTGCTGCCTCTATCTCCCGCTGTGTGCCCCGTTGTGCAGCACTTGCCACACAAGTGCGCACTTCACTTGGAATTTATTGATGGCAGATAATGCCGAAGTGCCAGCGACAAAGCAACACCGCCCAGCTGACGACAGAAGCAGCAGAAGTCTGTGTGTGTGTGTGTGTGTGTGTGGCAGGCTGCATCATTCAGCAAAAAAAAATAACAGAAAATGTAGTGTCGAAGTTTCAATACCCTTCAAAGTAGCATACAGTTTCGACATACATATATTCCTGGCCGCATGCGAGCTTTGCAACACCTTGTTATTATGGCAGCCATATAATATGCTAGTTCGATATGATAATTCGCTTTAAAACTAATAAGCAGCAGGTGTAAGAAAAATGCTGCAGGGTTTGAACCGGTGACCTCACGCTTGCTAGTTCGAGCTTTTCAAAAGATAGTTTCTATGGTATCTATATAATATGCTAGTTCGATATGATGATTCGCTTAAAAACTAATAAACAGCTGATATAAGAGAAGTGCTGTAGGGTTTGAACCAGCGAACTCACGCTTGCTAGTTCGACGTACACACATCTAAGTCTCGCAGGTTCGTGATGAGATGTTTATACATATATATATGCCCAGTTTCATCAAGATAACAATAGTATATTCCTTAAAAATGTTTCCTACAGAGCGTTACATACTCCCTGCGATAAGATAGAGTACCCTTTGTTAGGGTATGACAAGAATCATCGCTGGCTGGAGACGTTGGCAGCAGCTGCGACAACAGCTCGCCGTCGAGTGCCATTGAGCGTAAATTGTTGTTCCTTCACATTTTGAGGATGATTGAGAATATCCACAAAGGGGCTGCTTCCAAGCAAAGGGGGCCTTTTAGGGTCGCAGTTCAGCCAGCCGCTGCCATTTTCTATTCGCTTTTCAAATATTTAATAAAGCCCAGACACGGCAACTTCACAATCTATATATTTTTCTTTCATTTTTTCTTTTTTTTTGTGCCAGCCTTTTTTCTCCTTTCAAATGTATCTCGTAATGCAATTCGACCAGCAACTATTTTTGCTAGCCTCGCTGGTATTTGCCCTAGCCTGGTTTTTTATAGTCTCTATCTCTCTCTATCTCTCTCTCCCCCTCTCTCTATCTGTGTGCTGTCTGTTGATGTTCATTTGGGAAATGTCAAGGACTTGTCAAAGTAATGCAATTTTTTATGCATTTTTTAAAGAATACATTATAAGTAAGAGTCCACAGATCTACATTTATAAAAGAATTTGTTTCGACTGACTGACTGAATGACTGATTGACTGACTGATTGACTGACTGACTGACTGACTGATTGGTAATCAACGCAGAACACAAAACCTAAGAGCTTGGAGGCTGAAATTTATGTTATTGCTTCCTTTTGGCTTGAATGTGAGCACTCAGTCGGGTTGTTGTAAAATTCGACTTTAAAATGAAGGCAAACTTTGGTCAAATCTTGTAGAAGCGTTGAACTAGCAAGCGTAAGCTCGCTGGCTCAAATTCGAAAGAAATTTTCAATTCGTATATATATTTGTTGAAGTAAAGAAATTGTAAGTAAATCGGTTCTTACAATAATAGTTGAAATGTCTCTTTTGATTTGGTTCTTCGGTTCTTCGCTTGCTTGCGGCCCGAACCGCCGAAAAAATCTTTTTGTTGAACAGAAGTAAAGTTTATTATAATATTCAAACTTGTTCGCCATGCAGCAATAAGCCCATATTGAGAGTCTTTTAATTATATATCTGAGTAATGGCCATATAAAAACGGACTATAAATAAACCATTTTTTGTATAGAAGTATTTTATTGTGCCCCGCGAACGGAGTCAAATTGACCCTAATAAGGTAATTGGTTTAATTGAACTCTGATTACTTGTAATAAGCTGTCCGGCTAGAGGTTTATGTTTAGTTATTTGTTATATAAATGTAATGGGCGAGAAGGCAAAAACTCCTCAACTCCTCAATTAGCAGGTTGTCTGTACACTGAAAAGAACAAATTTTCCGAGTCAAGGATTGCAAGCGCCATTAAGAAGCATTAACTTGTTGAGAATTGCAAAAGTCAAGCAATTAGAAAAGCAAAGCGCGAGTCCTCTTTCTCTGTATTTTACCCCGTAAAACTGTGCTAAATATTTACGACTCAAGTGAATATTAGCCCCAAAATCGACTCGACAACAGCTCTCAATATTTTTGTTTATTCATTTTAAGCCAGATAATCCAAAAAAAACTTTGATATTATATCTTTAATTTTGCGATAACTTGTTGCTTTAATATTTTTATGTGTTCGTCCAATCATGTTGTCACACCCACATAAAATCTTCCTTTCCGTTGGTTATTTTTCCATTTTTTTTATTTACCACTAAATGATGTTGGGTGTGTGTGTGTGCATGGGCGTGGTCAGCGCCAAACATGTTTATCCGGCCATTTTTCCCGCACGCTCCGCACGCTCCGCACTTCAGGCTTCAGCTGTGGAATATGTTTATTTTTAGGAAACGTCAGGCATCAAGTTATCACTTTATTAAAAAACGCTTAGTCACATGTTGGGTATCACAATTGCCGCGTAAAAGTCCCGAGTCACTTACACACACACACACACACACACACACACGCACGCACACAAAGACGCAGCGTTTTACTGCGCAAAATAAAGGCCTTTGCCAAAGTTGTGCTTATCTTGGCGCTGGTATTGGCGTTGCCAGCTAGACTTTTGTCTGACATGGGTGTCCCGGATTCGAACAGAGAGAGAGAGAGAGAGAGAGAGAGAGAGAGAGTAAGAGTGCGAGAGCGGGAGGTGGGGCATGCTGACTGGCAGCAAGATAATGTTAGCTAGCTGTTTTTTCGCATTTCCGCTTTGTTTTAACATAACACTTGAATTTATGCAATGGCGCGTGTCCAACGCAGCGTATACGTAATGGGCCAGCGCTCAAAGTGCCACTAAAAACGACAACGGCAACGCCGACAACAACAACAAAAACAGAAACCACAACAACAGCAACAACAATAAAAGCAACAACCACAACAACAGCGGCAACAAACAATAACAAAGATATTTCTTACATTTTCATTTGCGAGCGAGCAGCATAAGTTACGCAGCCACCAATGTTGGGGCGTTGCCACAGGCACACACACACAAATAAACACAGACACACACACACACACAGGCATTGCGAACAGCAGCTTCAGATAAGACAACAAACTGTGTGGCCAGCGATAATATGGCGGATGGTGTTGGCATAACACTTGGCGACACGTTTTGGGCTTGGACCATGCTCACTCCTGCGCATGACATGCCTTTCTTATAGCTCATCGTTGTTGTCGTTGTTGTTGTTGTTTTCGTAACTGTTACAGCTTTTATTGTGCTGCTGCTGCTGAGGCGGAGGCTGCTTGAAACTCGTGCAAGCCACTTTGCAATTTTGTGTGTTGCAAAAAGCGTTGCCTACTTATGCGCGCATTTATTGCATGCAACGCGCACAATGGGCCAAATGTGCTTTGAGCGGCATAAATAAAATTAATAATGCAGAGCGAAGTTCTACAAACGAAGTTCTAATGTCTTACTGTCATTTGTGTTAAAAGTAAACATAAATTTGTTGGTTTTTGTACAAATAAGTTAGTATGTGCATAATGCAAAGGAAAGCTTGTTAATGCATAGCTGAAGCTTCGTTCTAGTGATTTCTTGCTTGCATTTCTTTTCGAGTTAGTTTATTTAACTTTACAAAAAATGAAAAAAAAAACCTGCTATGGACATTTTGCGAAAAGAAAAGCTTGTCAAGCAAAGTTTTAATGACTTCTTCTGGTCATTTCCTTTGAAAGTAACTAAAATTTTGTTATATATTATATATATTTAAATAAAGAAATAAATGGAACAAGAAAAACCTACTATGGGCATTATGCTCACTTTCTGTGAAAAATAAATACAATACATGACATGAACTCTTGCTGCCATATCTGCTAAAAGTAAATATAATTTAATCAGATTACTTACTATCAAAAAATGGTAAAGAATAAAAGTACTATGGTCATAATAGACACTTGGTGACCACAGAATTCTTCATAAAGTAGAGTTGAAGCAAAGCTCTAATGACTTATAAGACCATTATTAATTATTATTATAATTAATCATTTCCCCTAAAAGTAACTACAATTTCGTTGGTTTAATTTAAATTTAGAAAAAATACTATACTATACTATATACTATATATATAATTATACTGTTATTAAGGGAACGATTAATTAAACGCACATGCATAAATACAATGCAACTTATTCTACAGTTAAGTCTAACATAATATAATATACATAATTCGCAGCCTGTATGTTTATTACTTCCCCGTCAATTTAATTTAGGCCTTTTTCGAATGACTAACAAAAACAAACGTTGCCTACTTATGTGCGAATTTAATGCCCATAGTGAAAAATGGACACAAAATAAAAATGGAATTGTAGCGAAGTTGTGCTTCCCGTGCTGACTGTCTAAGACTTAAAATAAAATAGTTTAGTTTATGGAAGTAGAAAGACTTCCAACAAAATTTACTCTTTTTTAGTGCATAACTTAAACAATCGTGCAATAAAATCATAGAAATTCAAGTTTAAATCATTTGGTTAAAATATATAAAAAAAAATCATATTATTTAGGCTTATCCTGTATGCTGCATTCGGTATGGATTTCTTTTAAAAGTGAATATATTTAAGATTTTATTAGACTAGACCAAATAGGCAACTTAAATTAAAACGAAATTCTATTTATTATTCGTTTTTTAAAGTATAAATTGTAGAAGACCGAAAAGCTATTAAGCCAAATAACAAATTAGACAAAGCGTAGTTCTTTTTACTACTTATTCTTCGACACGCGACACAGAACTGAACTCTCTTCCCTTCCTCTTCTTCTTAATTCACCTCTCTATATATCTGTCATATTCATTAAAGTTACAAGGCATGTTACAGTTAATGTTTATTGTAAAGTATGTAAATGGCAATGTGACGTATAAATAAAAGTTTTTTACAACATTCATTTAATTGCATACCCTGTATACCCTGTAATGTACATTTTCTGCTTTTATTATAAACTTTTATTATAAATATTAACATTAATTATAATTATATAATATACAAAATATACACTCGATAAATATACATAACATACTTAAGATACTTTCTATTTATATAAAGGGCATCAGCTAGTCAGTCATTTATCTTTCCCACACATAGCTCACAAGGTTTTACAATAAGGGAACTATTTACTTGTTCTTAGTTATACATAATATCTCTTCTATTAAAGATATTTTCAATGTAAGCTGTTCAACATATTTTCCATCCTCTATGCAGGGCATCAGCTAGTCGTGCATTTCCACTTGCCACACACAACAAGGTTTTACAATAAGATAACAATCAGTCAATTCTACTTATGTGTATCTGCATGTCTCAATAGGCAAATATTTGGACGCTGCTTCAATATTTTCTAGTGCACTCAATAACAAGTGTCACACACACAAACAGAGAAACACACCACACACATATGTGTGTGTGTGTGTGTGTGTGTACACATGTCTGTTTTGTAGAGGGTCGTGCCGCGCGCAGCTGCATAAATAAGTTGATCAAATGTGGCATAATAATTAGTTCAGCTGGCTTGCCAGCTCATTTGCATATTACGTATACGCCGCGCTGCCAGCTGGCCACGCCCCAATTTTGTCCATAGCAAATGCGAGGCGCGCTCTGCTAGCAATTGCCACGACAAGCTGTCAGTGGGTAAGATTAAAATTTTGATGACATTGCCAAGAGGGGTTCGTTTGTTGTTGTTTTTCTTTTTTTTTTCGAGCTGAATAACAAATATTGCGCATACGCAGCGGTGTGTACGGCAGCGAAGTGCTCATACGCTCTGTTATGCTGTCATTTCTTAGACTCAAATCAAATAGCAATCAAAACTTTTTCATTATCCACAAAGCACAGGCAAACCGCATATCAACTGTTGTCAGGCCATTGCAGAAGCTAGCAGCTAGACTCTATATCTATATATATATATATATATATATATGTATATATAAATAATACTTATACACACATAAATACATATTTATAAATAGGCTGCCATTTTTTTCGCGTCGGCTTTTGCTTTAATGCCAACGCTGCGTATACACAAAAGCCGACAGCAAGCGAGACAGTGAGAACAGTGAGCGGGGAGAGAGAGGCAAAGAGAGAGAGAGAGAGGGAGAGAGAGAGAGTGAGACAGAGAGAGAGAGAGGGGGAGAAAGGGTCGCTGTGGCTTGATTACAGTTTGCAGCTGGCTCCTAAATTAAAAACAATTCAGCTCTAATAATAATTAGCCCAAAAGGTGAAATTTCAAATTTGTGTACAGTAATGCTAAAATGGAAATAATTAAAAAAAAACTAAAAACCTATATAATCTTGTCGGGAATATCCGACTAGCAAATACCCTGAACCTACCTATACTAAGAATCTAACTTTATGCATGCATACACACATGTACATACATACACACAAACCCACGCCGCAATTTGCGCACCTTAGGCCAGGCTTTGCTTCTTCTTCTCTTGACTCCATACTCCATATTTTCCATATGGAAGTGTCATTCTTGATTAACTCGAGTATTTATCATCCGATCTTTATAAAATTGTTAATGCTTAAATATGACAAATAAATGAATGTGAATACCAAAGTGTATGGCTGTACCCACAAAAATGAGTTGTTTTCCAATTATGAAGTATTCTGGGGATCCCAAAAAGCTTAAGAATTCTTAATCTGTGTATGATATACGAAAACCTTAACGTTTGTATATCCAGCTCTAATAGTCTTCGAGCTATGCGTAAAAACCACGTCGTATATTCGATACGTATCGATATCATATTATCACAACGATTGTTATCGATATCATGCAAATGAGATTTGTCGAAAGGTAAAACTATGCTCTTTTGGCATTTGCTATAGAAGGAAATATATATTTAAGATTAAGTGTCTCTAGCTTCACGGGTTTCCGAGTGCGAAGCGTTCACATAGACTGGGAGATGCACAGACAGACGGATATGAGTATATATATATATATATAATCTGTGATCTAAGATGTCTGCCATCTATGTGTTACACATTCATTGAGAAACTGATAATACCCTCTGGCAGGGCATAAAAACACAAACATTTTTGAACTGCGCGCGCGCACAAAACAGAAGAAAGTAACTCATATTGGCTGTTTATTTGCAGGCGTAACTTTTATTAAATTGTGATTTCACTCACGCACACACAACAGCAGCTAACACACACACACACACACGCACACACACATGCAGACTTGAGTGTATAGCCGAGCAGCGAGACAGTTAAAATGCCAACAAACGCGCTTTAATAGCACAGTTTAGCGCAGAATAGACGCAAATAAACACAGTCATGGCTGTGCCTTCAGCGCCAGGGACTTGCCATAAATAATACACACACAAGCACACTCTTGCCACATACATATACACTCTCGCATGTGTAAGCACATATATACACATATATATATATATACATATATATATATGCATTCACATAAATAAATATTCGTATATATGTGCCTGGCTATGGGTTGTGGCAGCCCGTTTGACTGTTTGACTTTGCGTGGGTGTGTGCACTTGATGCCAAATAAAGTAAATGTAGCACAAAAGCACACACACACACACACACGCACACACATAGAAATATACACAGATGCAGGCACACACGTACACGCACACACATACCTGCAGCAGCAGTTTCCATTTCATCCGCTTTTATACCCTGCAGCCATAAAATGTCTGGGAAAAAAAAACAAGGGCTTAATAAAGTTGTATAAATGTAGATAACAGCCAAGAGGAGGCGTTTCCCAGCATATAGAGCATATAGCTATATCGTCTAGCCATGTTTGCCTAGCTGTTGCCACACTCTCAACAAAAATCTAGGTTGTGGCTCTTCTGTTATACAAATCAAATTTCTTTTTACTTTAACTTTGAACAGAATCAAATCTAATAACAATATAAAAACTATATTACACCTCCTTAGGAGATCGCTTGCCAACGGTTGCAAAAAAAATACATTTATTTTATTGTAAATATATGTTTTTTCTGAAATTTTTTAACCTTGTTTGTCTTTTAAAATGATAACTATACTATATAATATAGGTGTCAAAACCAGAGTTTTTATAAACAAATCTTGTTACTATTTTATGTTAAAGATATACACGGTCACTCGTAGCTCCCATGTAAGTTAAAGATTATGTTAAGCATTTGTGCTAGAAATTAGAAATGGGAAATTTGACCTATGTGTATATAGGATATGTGAGGGTACCATTTTCACGTGAATTTCGACCAAAAATAATGTTGCCAGATTTAGATGCAGAATTGATCTAGAGGCCAAACCGTGAACAAAAAGCCAAGCCCGGTGAAAATCGGATGAGATTTGACCAAGTTATGGGGTTGGGAAATTGTGACCCATGTCTATATAGGATATTTGAGGATACCATTTTCACGTGAATTTCGACCAAAAATAATGTTGCCAGATTTAGATGCAAAATTGATCTAGAGGCCAAACCATGAACAAAAAGTCAAGCCCGGTGAAAATCGGATGAAATTTGACCGAGTTACGGGGGTGGGAAATTGTCACCCATGTCTATATAGGATATTTGAGGGTACCATTTTCACATGAATTTCGACCAAAAATAATGTTTCCAGATGTTGATGCCAAATTCATCTAAAGGCCAAACCACGAAAAAAAATCTAAACCTCGTGAAAATCGGATGAAATTTGACCGAGTTATGGGGGTGGGACATTTTGACCCATGTCTATATAGGATATTTGAGGGTCCCATTACTTGCGTCTCTAGACTTCGTCGGTCTACTATTACTGTAAATATTTCACAGGCTAAGGACTCAGTCAAAAATGCAGCTGTTTAATGTGCGCCCCACATATTTTGTCAACACCCTGCAAATTTTGCAAAACCTCTATATCATATACTAGTTTCTACAGGAACAGGGGTTCGAAAATAGACCTCTATATCTAATAAGTAGTAACTAAAAACCTGCCAAGTCTGCAAGCGTATTTAATATTCGCTGTGCCACAACTAGCTGTTCTTGCTATTATTATAATATAAGTACAGCTTATTTTCATATGATTATACTTCATTTATTTAACATGCATTTTTTTCTCTCTTCCCCTTTTTAGAACTGGCGGCGGCAGCATGTTGGGTGACGTAAACATATCCGCTATACTCGACTCCTTTAGTGTTAGTTACGACAAAAGAGTAAGACCCAATTATGGTGGTAAGTACAAGCGCAATATTTAAATACAACAACTAGTTAAACACACTAAATAGGGTTAGTTAACGCGACTTGAACGTGGGCGGGCACAACGTATATATATATATATATTATTTAGTAAAGTTCAATGTTAGCTGAACTAATTCATATACTTTTGAACTGACTAACTGTTAAGTAGCGTTATTTTGTTTCGCCTATAAAAAATATATATCTATATATTTATATATATAACCATGCCAAAACAAACTGTACGTGTTTCAGGACCTCCTGTCGAAGTCGGAGTCACCATGTATGTGCTATCAATCAGCTCGCTCTCAGAAGTGAAAATGGTACAAACTAAATGACCTTTGTACCTTTAAGATCTTAAAACTCTCTCTCTCTCTGTCTCTCTGTTTCGCTCGCATACTCTATCTCTCTCTCTCTTCTTGTCTCTGTTGTTGAAATTTAATTTATTTTGTATCTGACTATTTCACTTTACTTTAAACATTCAATTTGTGCCACACAATGCTTTAGTTTGTTGCCAAAAAAAAAAAGAAACACGTTTTATTCACACATACATATCTACACACACACACACACACACACATACACTACTTTTTCTTTTTGATATACGAATTTGTAGAACAATTTTCGTACTATTTTTAATGTTCTTGTTTCTTCTGCCTTTGCTTAAGTTTCGATTAGTTCTTTTTCATTTATAATTTAGCTTAACTTATTTAAACTTCTCGTAGGTTTCTTCCAGTTAGTGCTGACTCGTATTAGGTTGAGCTATGAACTAAACTTTTCTAAAAACTAGGTACCTTAAGTAACCAATCCAAAAGTGAGGCTGCACTCAGTTAATTCGAATAAAATCTAAAAAAAAATCATTCTCTCTCTTAGTAACTGTGAACTACAAACTAACTAAAGATTGGCGATGCTTTTTTCCTTCTTCTTAACAATACGAATTCACGCTTTTATTTAGTGTGTACAATTTTTGAAACGAGTTTCTCTCTGTGTGTTTGTGTCGTTGACAATTTGAGTACAATTTGTAATTGGTGCAGCACAGATAGCAAGCTTTACCACCCCAAAAATCCCCCGCCACCCGTTCACACAAACTATGCCCAACGATATATAGAAATTCATGCCATTCAACCAATTTTTCCCTACTTCCTTCCCCCCCTCCCCCACCCGAACACTCACACTTGAAAGCAAAACTTGCTTGCGTTCAGCTCATGGTCTTTTTGTGTTCGTCTACTTCTTCTTCTTCTTATGTTTTTATAGGATCACAACACATATCATACAAAGCTTTTAAGATACATTTTCTTAACTTGCAGCTGCCAACCATTCAGTACAATTCAAAGCTTTTCCAAATGGTGTGTTAAATCCGCTATCACAGCAAAAAGAATACAAAAAATATATAAATACATTTTATGTTACGCTAGACTTTATTATCAATATATTCGAAATACACTGAAAAAAAAAATACATAGCTTTCATATAGCTGGGCCTTAAAAACAACAGCAATATATACAAAATAATAACAAAACTCAAATAGTTGATTTGGTTTTCATTCGGCGCGTGCAACAAGACAAAAGCAAAACCCTTTGCACACATTTAGAAAATATGTAGAAATAAATTATATATCAAAAACTAAGAAAAACGCGCACAACTGTACATTGTATATTTAATTTTGCTAATGAAAATTAAACAACCACAAATAAAAATCGGTTTTTGAGTATGAAAACTGATATTAAGCTGAACTATGGCTTGCAGGCTGTACTTTTTTCGATGTTTGAAGCTTACAATTCCCAACAAGTTAAGGCTTCGAAAGGGTTGCCAGACGTTTACAATTCTAGAGTCGTTAGCAAAGTCTGCTGATGATTGGAATCGTAAAATTGTTGTTAATTGTACAACAAACTAAACATTATTGCCCTCAAGCCGTTCAGCTTAATATTAGAACAAAATACATTTACATACGGGTTATAATGAAAAGAATTGCAAGGCCTGCTGCCTGTTTCCGGCAGTTGACAGTGACGGCAATAAGTCTCTCTCTCTCTCTGTCTATGTTATTTTTGCAATGGTGTGCGTGTAATTTATACTTAATATTTATGTTGGGCTCCACACTAACAACAACAACTACAAACAACAAACAACGTTTTAGTACAACAACAACAACAACAACAAGAACAACTTAAAAAAACAACGACAATTTGAATAGATAAAGATAAAAGAAAACAAACAAACCCTCAAACCTGTCTGTGTGTGTGTATATGTTGCAGGTCCCCCTGTGGAGGTCGGCGTCACAATGTATGTCCTCAGTATCAGTTCGGTTTCGGAAGTTCTCATGGTACATACCAACCAAATATACCAAATAAAAAAAAAACATTTCCAAACAAAATTAATAACAAATTTTAACAAAAAGTGAAAATCAACTTTTCTGTTTCTTAAAATCAATCAAAAGTTAAATCAAAAAAAATATATATCATATGTCTACTTCTTAATTTAACTCTCTAACAACTCTGTACCCCAGCTATCTACCCCACTCTCTCTCTCTCGCTGTCTCTCTCTCTCTCATTCTCTCTCTCTCTCTCTCTCTCTCTGTCTCTCTTCTCTGCCTTTACTCTTGCTTAACACACATTTTGTGTACACATTTTTTCGTTATTAATTTCGCTATGTTCACATTTGTTTTTCTCTTTATTTGTAAATCATAATCTTTTGGTTTTGAAACATTCGAAGCAAATCGCAACTTTCCAATGCATATATACCCATTATACAATATCTAAACATTATTTAATATATATAAACATATATTCTACAAAAAATTTTAACAATTAAATGTTGTGTTCATAATTGTTTTTGCAATGCCGTCAGTTTGTCATTGAGCCAAAATAAAGTACAGTCGGAAGAAAAACTACACACATATTGCATAATATTTTGTAGCTTCAATCTGTTAAAATTGGGCATATATCTATATTTTACAAGTCTTAAATTTATCAATACTTCTTATAATCGAGTTGGTCTTTTGAATCGGTTAAACTTTCTATTTTCTATACTATGCGCTGCTCTTGCTTAAAAACTTAAAGCTTTAAATTCATAAATTTTTTGTATACCCTTGTTATCAAATTCATAGTGCATATTAAGAAACAATTGCCACGCCATAAAGCATATTTATTCCTGATTAGCATCAATAAACCCAGTCAATATAGACGTCTGTCTGTTTCTATGCGAACTAGTCTTAAGCTTAAGCTATACTCAGTATTCTTTGCATTGGTTAGACTTTCTGTTAAAGGCAGTTCCGACCAAATCGGACCTCAATATGCTTCTTACAGAGCAAGGTTTTATCTAAATAGAAGAGAGTCGACTGAAAAAATTTCCTATTTCTCACTCAAATTTTCACCAAACTCAGCAATTACGAGCTCTGCCAAATTTCCACAAGGGTATTGAATCTTCGGCTTGCTGAAGATAGCCATTCTTTGTTCTTATAATGATATTTAGTTTTTTATACCTCTCAAGTCTCTCAGTCTAATATGTTTCCTGCATCCCTAAAAACTCATTTGTTTCATAATTCAATCGGAACGTTAAACTTTTTCGAGCTTATAAGTTAAATGCTTCAACTAGAAACTTGCATTGATCATAAACTAGTTAATTGTACTTTATTCTGGCCAAAGGCAAAAGATAATCACAGCAGTCCTGTCGACAACGGCTGCGCGCATGCGTTTTTGTTAACAATATGAATGAATATGAATATGAATATGAATATGAATAATGTACGCCATATAGCATACTCGTACAATATATTAAAGCTCAATGTCATATGTGATATACATATCTATATATATACTCGATATAGCCAAAGTATATAAGTGTACAAGTGTACTTCTGTGTTTAATTTTATTCATTTCGACAGGTCTTTGAGAGCAACAAAAAATTAAAACAAAATTTAATTGAATTAATTCACATATTTTTTGCTTTTTCAAGTTTTGAATAAATTCAACAAAATTATTAAATTCTTATGCATTTTTGTTCATCAAAGCAAAGACTTAACTATAACACATACAATTGGATATACACACAGTTCCATTCGAATTGTTTTTTAAATTGCTTTTATTCGAAATATTTAAACCTAGCTTCATGGAAGTTCTGAATTACCTGAATTAGACTCTTTTTATAGTTTTACCCCATTCGAACCCACGACTTTTGTAATCATTGAATAACAAATAAACAAAATTGGCTCGATTTTAGCTAAATATAAACACATTCTCATACACGCTTCACTGAGAATGAGGTCGCTAGAGAATAGCATTTGATTGGAAGCAAGCAATGCCAAACGTTGTTTCAGTTTTCAGGCACATGTGTCTGCGAAATCAGATACACTGTACTTAAGCACCCATCGAATCAACCGTATTCTATACGCTACACTTTAACTGCACCATTATGTAAAGCACAATGCTGGGTGGATTGACACGTGCACCGTTTGGCTTTGGCATCAAAAGTCAATAGCAATCAATTTATGCGAAATAAACGTGGTTAACATAGCAGTAACATGTACACGAGATGGGGCAGCGAAACAACACGAAACACGGCACACGGAACAAGACCCAAATGCCCCATGCCAAAAAAACAACATCGACAGCAACAGCAACAACAATTTTGTAGTTTCTCTCATGCATACACAATTACAACAACATGCGCATAAACTTACTCTTACATAACATTCTTCGCATTGTTTTTTATAAGTTTACATATTATTTTTTTTAGTACACAACAACTGTACAAATAAGTTCAAAAATACATAAAAAAAAACAAGATATCTTTTCGGAAAAAAAATACTGATGGAGAGAAATTAACAAGCAAGCAAATAATAGGGCAAAAACAATCTGTCTTTCCCAAGCACAGATACGTTCACAGATACATTTACAGATACATTTACAGATACAAATACAGATGCACAGATCCAGATACGGATACGGATAGTTACAGATACAGTTACAGATACACATACAGATACAGATCCAGATACAGATACGGATAGTTACAGATAGAGTTACAGATACACAAACAGATACAAATTCAGATACAGTTACAAAGATGCAGATACAGACTCACAGATACAGATACAGATAGATACATGCACAGATACAGATACAGGCACAGAGACAAATACAGATAGATACATGCATAGATACAGATACAGGCACAGATGCAGATGAACATACTTTTACTGATACTTTCACTTATAAATACACAGATACACACACAGTGTTGATTCAGATACATACTCAGATAATTCTACTATTACAGATAATCTTACAGATACTTTTTCCGATATAGATACAGCTACAAGTTACAGTTGCAGTTCGTCGACCTATTTCTCAGAAACTTTCACCAATGTAGATCGAGATACAGCTTGACAGATACAGTTACAGATATAAATACAGAATACTGTTATGTTACTTATACAGATTCAGATACTTGTACAGACACAGAGACAAAAACTTTTACAGATACTCCCCGAGTCCCGTAATAGATACAGATCCAAGTTACTTTGCACACAGAGATACTTTTATAGACACAGTACAGACATATGTACAGACCAAATGCTTGTACGAATAAAGATAAAGATACATAAAGATACAAAAACAGATGCAACTCAATATAGATACAAATGCACATACACAAACAGATGCAGATACACCGATCAAAGTATGCCAGCAGCTATGGAAATTGTATAAATGGTGTAAGAAAAACTCAACCTAGCCCCACAAAAAAACAAAGGAAATCAACTCTTTAAACCCCTCGCGTTCGAGTTTAATTGTATATTTATGTAACTCGTACCATAAATATGTGTAATTTATGATTTCGACTAGTCTCGAACCCTTTAAAAATTATATAACTAACTAAATAACTGCCTAAAGAGCTTTGAAATATTTTGAGTTTCGCTATACTTGAATCTTTTCGTTAAAGTTTTGTTTTTGGCGTGCCTGTACCGAGTGGAAACCAAATCTGCTAGAGTTTAACTTAAGCCTGAAACTTACAGATAATCAATTTATCCAACCGAGAATTGCATAAACAAATGTCACGAGTGCGGCGGGCAATTTCTCGAACAAGCATTTTAGACATATCTACTAAAACAAGAAAATGTACCCAAAAGTACGCTCTCTTACGCATATCACTTGCATTTTTACGAATTTCGTTTCAATTCTTTTTGTCTTAGTTTAAAATTCGAATCCTGAACACGAGATACAAATTGTGTGTACCCAAAACAAGAATCCAATCCAATAGCCACACACATACACACACACACACACATGACTCGTATACCAAGCTCAGCCTGATCAACTGATCTGAACTGCTCCACTATATAACTAAACCCCAGTCTTCCCCTCTACCCAGTACCGCTCCGCCTCGCCTCGCCCCGAACCGCTTCCTTTAAGTTTTTAGTACGCTTTAGCTTAAAGGCACTGCAGCAGGACAACAAAGAGCCAAAAGCCAAGCCAAACCAAGCCAAGCTAGCAACAGTTAAGATCTCGCTGTACAAATGAATTATGAACAGTCATTTGCCTTAGAACAAGAATTTTTTACAACTTAAATTAAGTACATAACTATCTTTTGTTCGAGTTAAACAGAATATCTCTAAACTACTTCACATCACAGCAAATCAAATATTTGTGAGAGGTTTCTGAACTGCTTACTGTATATAAGCTTATTTATTATTACAAATATTTTAATCTTTATTTAAGATAGTTTTTAATTACATTTACTTTATTTTTACTTTGTTTTCTCAGTTTTTCTCTGATTTACTCGATATAAAAACATTAATGCTGCCCAAAAACTTACTGTAAATTTGATGTTTTTGCATGCCCTGAAATTTAAATGTATTTTCAACCCCCCAAAAAAGAAGAAAAGAAAAAGAAAATGAAAATTCCCCCCGAGTCCACCAACTTTTTATATTGTTTACAAATTGTTGCACGATATTGTTAAACAAAATTTTCAATTTTGGTTTCTATCACAAAAAAAAAATGAAAAACAATTTGTTTTGTGTGTATTGTAAAGCGCATTTTTATTATTTTCCTAATTAGCAAAAATATATGCGATATTAATACTTCAATCTGTGCGAAATTTTTCCTGATTTCCAACAATTCTTAAACACTTTCTTAAACTTTCATTTTCGATATATGAGAAACTATTTTGGTTCAGTTCGATTTGTGTTTATTGTTTTCATAATACTCTAAGCTTTAAGTGCTATACTAAGTTTACTAATAAGAAACAAACATCTCTTTTTGCTCCCCATTTTGGTAATCGATATCGAAATCGTCGTCGATAAATTCGGATCGATACTCGTATCGATATTTTTCGTGTATAGGACTTTACATTGGATTTTTACTTTCGTCAATTTTGGACCGATCCTCGTTTAGCGTATAGAAAACGACCTGGTGTAGAAACACTATCGGTTGGATCAGAATTCATTAAGAATATTTGGGTACCTGACACCTTTTTTGTAAATGAAAAACAATCATATTTTCACATTGCAACAACCAGTAATGAATTCATTCGAGTGCATCATTCTGGATCGATAACAAGAAGTATTAGGTAAAACTATCAACTATCTTCCAGCAAATCAAATCAAATGCAATTTTTCAAATTATTTTTAACAATCTATATGTCTATGTGTAAACAAAAAAACAAAAAACAAAACTTAAAATGTACTGCGAATAGTTCAAAAACTATTTACTAACTAAAACATTTTTTTTTTTGTTTGTTCCAATTATTTCTTAACCCTTTTTGCAACTTTGTACTGTTTTTGATGTGTGTGTATAAATGGATGTTGTAATTTACTAACCAAAAAACAAAACAAAACAAAAAACAAAAAACAATCGAAACGAAACGAAAAGTTCAACAAAATGAAAAACAGTTTTCAATCAAGTGAGTTCAATTGGCAAAAAGTGAAAGCGATAGAAAGTTGGCGATATATATATATATATATGCAATATATTCCGAGCGTTTAAATCAAAAGAATCTTTTGCACATTTCATTTCGACAAGTTTCCATGAAGTTTGCAAAACTGAACCCGCGCCGCCCCCCCCACGCCCCATCCGAACAAGAAGTAGAACTGAGAACAACAACCTCAAGAGGGGTACCAGTTGCAGTTGTCTCCATGTGTCTTTTACACCGCCAAAAGGTTGCACTGGTCGCAGTAGCTACTGTAGCTACTGGGCATACAATTTTCTACTACCTTTAAACAAGAATCTGTCCAAAATCGCTACCCAGCTGCTGCTGCTCAACGGGGAAGCCGACTAACTAAACTAAATCAAACCAAACCAAACCAAACCAAACCAAACTAAACTAAAACTTAACTAATATGCCTTATCACGTATGCGTAGAACTTAGGCCAATTAACCTCGCCACTCGCCTCACTATCTAAGTACAACCAAATGCCACTCGTAACTCTCACTTACAAAATACAAATATTGTTATTTATTAACATTTCTAATAACAATTGTAATAATAATGAATGTTAACTCATAACCAATTGAACTCGCTCTGTTTCAAATACTAGAAGAACCAAAAAAAAAAAAATTTTATATAATATATATATTATATAAGAAAATTACCCTAACCCCAACCTTAGTGTCGTAAATTATTTGCTCCTACCCTCTGCTTATTTAATTGTTGTAACCATTAGCTGTGTTCATGCCAAACCTTTTCCACTAACATACTAATCGAATTCTTCTTCTCAACAAAACACAAAAAAAAAAAAAAAAAAAACACACGAAAAAAATGACCTTTCAGATTGACTATCACCGCATCGTGTCCGATGAATCTGCAGTATTTCCCAATGGACCGTCAACTGTGTCACATTGAGATCGAAAGCTGTAAGTACTATGCCCAATTACCTAACTATTCTATTCAATTAAAATGCTACAAACTAAAGTAAATAAGGCAAAAAAAAAAGAGAAGACAAAAGAAACTTGAATTAAATATCGAAATGAAAATTGTAATTGTATTTATATCGATATAAATATCGATAAGAAATGAACTCATTCAGAATATGAAGCACTTAACCAGAACCCGAGTGGCCAAAGTAAAGTGCCGATGTGCTTAGTGTTGGCTAACGCTCAAACTGCCCACTCATCATGACCAATTTAGCATGTGTAGCTGCCTAGTCTAGTAATATCTGAAAACATATGCATATATATACATATATTTATATATATCTAGCCCGTAACTAATTGCATCTGCACCAAATTTTGGCCACTAAGCTTAAGGCCGCGCGCTGTTTGTTCAGTGTGGGCAGAAAATTGAAAAAGAAAGTGTTGAAAAACGCAAGCAAATTGTAAGTCAACGCACACAGAGAAGACAAACACACACACACATACTTACTAATTATCGTATTTACGAAATAAACACAATAATTTCTACAGATATTTGACGGATAGTCATTATCTCCGCAGCGTATTATGTACTATATCATAATATACATATATACATATATGTTTTTTTTTACCTTAATCAAATGAGGTCTTGAGGCACAATGCTCTGTTTTCTAGCTCTCAAATATTTGGTTAACAATAGTTTACGTTTTCTTACAAATCGGGCACACTTGAATAATATGAATAAAAAAGAAAACTTGTTTAGCATTGCTTTTATTCGTACCTAGCTGTAGATTTAGCAAGGGTTTACTGCGTACATATCCCCCAGTTTTTATGTTTTTTCTTTGGCCATTTTGCACAGCCGCCAAATCAGCTAATAAATATATATGAGTATATTTTTCCAACGATTTATCCTGCAGCATACGTACAACTCTTTTTACTCTCATGTTTCATCCATGTGCCCCAAAACAAACTCCCAGATAAAAACAAAACAAAAAAATTGAACATAAAAGCCAAAAAAAAAAAAGAATTCATTAGATTGGTTGGTTTTCGGTCGCCTTCTCACTTACAGCAACCGCAGAAGGCTCCTGATTTTGATCGATCGACTTAACAGAAACTAAATGTGCTTAATATTAACTAACGTTATATTATACCATATATATATTTAAAACAATTCAATGTATATTATTAAAAAAAAAACAAAAAAAAAAAAAGTACATACGCAGCACGCTTTTACTCAGAGGCCACACAATAAGCTAACCAATGTAAATACATTTAAATATGTTATGATTCTTTGTCAAGACACACGCCACAAAATTGCGGCAAAAACCAGATCTTAACTCACTGTAGTCTTAAGCTTAAGATACTTGTAAAAACCACCCAAAACTCATGCTATATATGTGAGTGCAAAACTAAGACTAATCCAAGTGTTACTAACCGAAACTAATCCTTAAACCACCTTCACAATAACAACTACAACTACAACAACTACAACAAACAACAACAACAAACAACAATTACAATAATTAATTAACTACCGCCCCCCTCTTTGCAACAACTACAACAACAACAACAACAACAACAACAACCACAACCAGTCGGTTACACGATGCGAGATATCCGATATTTCTGGAGAGATGGACTGAGTAGTGTTGGCATGAGCAGTGAGGTCGAACTACCGCAGTTCCGTGTTTTGGGACACAGGCAGAGGGCGACCGAAATAAACCTAACCACAGGTACCCTCCATACATTACAAATTCATACCAGAAATCCAAAAAAAACAAAAAAAAAACAAGTCAAACAAACATTGTTAATGAATCACATTAACATATATTTTATTTGTTGTGACAAACAGTTTTCCTTTTGATTTTTCTCATTTCTTTAACATTTCGTAATCAATTTTTGTGTTTTGATTTCCTTTCAAAAAACCAAAAAAAGGGTTTTTAGCGCATAAATATACATATATACAATATATATGTTCTATATATTAAACATACCAACAACATGCACATTTTCTTTAGTTTTGTGTTTCACCTATATCGAGTGCTAACTGTAACTTGTTCTACTAACTAAATACTAAATACATATATTATTGTGTTTCGAGTGTCCTCCTCTACTAACCTCTGTTGTGCCTACATCACTTTTGATTGATCATCTAAAACAATTTAACAATAATTTATAAACGATTCGTAGTCCAGTGTTAGACAGTGTTAGACCAGTGTTAGACAGTGCTTTGCTAGGCGTTGCGAGTATGCCGTAAACTCTACTTCTTTTTTTTTTTCCAAACTCTTTTCCTTTTAATTATTGTGTGTACTTACGAGTCCAGTTCCAGTTTGCCGTCCATTTTAGCGCATTTGCTTGGGTAGGCTAACCAACAACAACAACAACAACAACAACAAATATTTTATAAAAAAATTTTCTAAAACCGAAAATAAATATACATAGATCTATATATATATATTATACAGAAAACACAAGAGCACCAATTTCTGCCATTTTTAAGTGCTTAAGTGAAAAAGAAAAACGAATACTAATTAACTAACTACTGCCAATAAGAACAAACAGTAGCTTTAAGTCTAGTTGCAAACTATTCAACAAATTCTTGAATGCTCTCTATATTATGAATCCATAGCAATTATATATAACCCCTTTTTGTACAATACATGTAATACGGAATTGTAATATATGAGCAAAAATATATTTCTAACTATCTAAAATGTGAATCAAAAAATATATTTGACAACACTTTAAGCAACAAGTTCTGAATGAGACTATTAATTAACGTAATAAAACAAATGATAAACAGCAAAAAGAAAAAAAACAATACAAAATTGAAAACAGAAAAGTATAAAACACAAAAGAAAAATTGATAAGACTTACTATGAAATTCTTTTTTTGCCAATCATTAATAGTCTCACGAAATGTATTTTTTGTTTTGTGCATATTTTTCGCAACGACAACCACACCGAACAACGCCGAACAACAACTGTACAAAAATATAAATTCAATTAAATTATAAACAATATATAAATCAAAAATAAATATAAAATATATCAATTATGATAACAAAAAAAAATATATAAAAAAATATACATATACAAATATAAAAAATATATATAAAAAAATATATTAAAAAATATAAAAAAAAATATTTAAAAAAAATACGTATAAAAAAATAAATAAATAACTTAAATACAACAAATAAATTCTATAAAAAATATATATCATCATATGAAAAAAATACTTTGATAATTATAAAACCATGGATCATCTCCAACTGCATATACACAACATATATATATATATATATATATATAGTCGGCTACACGATGCGTGACATACGCTATAAATGGAACGAAGGCCCTAACTCGGTTGGTGTCTCGAGCGAGGTATCGCTGCCCCAGTTTAAGGTCTTGGGTCATCGTCAAAGGGCTATGGAGATCAGTCTTACCACAGGTACCTGTAGACGGTTACCGATTTTTTTACAAACTTTACTTTTAACTTTATATATACATACATATATATGTATATATATATATATATATATATATATATATACATATACTTATTTACCTTTACTACCTATACATATACATATGCTTCATATGTATGTATATACAAAATAGTGCTGATGACGACTTGTATTAATACTTATATATATATATATATACATTTTATATATATATATAAAGATTTTGCGTTTCCATCTTTAGTTCGATTATTTGCTTAACCTTAACATTTGCATTCTTTACAACCCAAATTATTTTGATAAAGCACTCGTACTTCCTCATCTAACCAGAACGTCAGTCAGTTATACATATATATACAGATATATATATATGTATATATATATAAATATATTGGGCTAAATCGAGTTCGAGTGCAATTTGATCTGCGGTTCCAAACGAAAATGGCAACAAAATTAGACAAATGCATGTATGCATAATATTTTGCTTACTCTCAACATTTACATTTAACTAACGCTCAAATAAATCGGAGTCAGAATCAAAGCTAGCTTCGGTCCGCCGAAGATTCTATACTCTTGCAGATAGCCAAATACTCGAAAACGAATATCTATTCGACCTTGCCTGTTGTGACTATCTGTTATAGTTGTCCGATCCGACTGAAACCAATTTATATTTAATTTAAAGCTTGGACAAAAATATGAACCATATTTCATGGACTTAGATTCACAGCAAGTCGCGTTCAGCCGGAACATCTGCAAGTTTATAGCGAAGCAAATGCATTTCTTTGCCCAAAGGAATTTGAATATATAAACAGCCTGAGCGCAATTTAGAGCTACAGATAAAAACATATATCAATATTTAAGCGCAAGACTAATGCATGTTAAGCTAGCTGAATTTTATTTCTTTAATATTCATTTAGTATTTCACTTAATTCACTTATTTTCTCAGTTTCGTTTCGAGTTGATTCCGATTTCTTTTCACTAATTTCGTCATTAGTTCATAAACAAAATTAAATTATTGGCATTGCCAAACGAATCGACAAAAAAGCAATTGAACAATTTCTCATGCTCCGTCAAGAACATTTAAAAATTAAAACAGACAAAAATTTGAAAGCGAAAAAAACGTAAAAACGAAATCAAACTGAAATTGACTTAGCGACATTTGTGTCATGGAAAGCATTAAGTAAAATATATATTTATATGCAAAATAAATACTTACCATATATCTTCTATATATATATCTATTGAACACCAATACAAATAAAAAAGTATAGCGATGCTTAACTTTATATGGCTTTTGTACTTAGATAATCATCCTTTCGATTTATGCCTGGCATTCAAACTCGTACAAATTATATATTATATTTTCAAACACACACACACACACACACACTTGACTATATACATTATTATCTAGTCACATTTAGTTTTTACTAAAAATACTAAATACTTAAAGAAAACAAAGTAATTGCCAAAATTGAAAACGCTATCGAAAATTCATTAGCATAACCCAACAACAGCAACAATCACATCAATATTGTAAAAAATACAACAAAAAAATATACACAGAAAATACTGCAAAAACATTCAAATCGAAAAAAAAAATACTACCTAGAATTTTAAAACTTAAATAAAAACTAAAATCCATTTTTTTTGATAATTAGCAGAAGCAAGCAACAAAATCTAAAAAATAAAATCAAATATATATATAATTAAATATATAAAACAAATATGAAAAATATACAAGATACGCCCTCCCAAGCATGCTCTCATCTTTAAAGTTTCCTTTCAAAAAAAAAAAAAATACAAAAAAATATATATATATATTTATTACATACAAATTCTCGCAGGCCAAAAACCAATTGTGCCTAACTGGGCCTTAGGCTAGCTCTCTCTCTCTCCCTCTCTCTCTCTCTCTCTCTGTCTGCCTCGCTCTCTGCTCATGTTAACTTTTTCTTTCAAATAATTTTCTGGAAGTTTTCTTTTTGTCTCTCGCCCGGCCACTTTTAAGAGGTTTTCGCTCTTTCATTTCATTTTAGTTACTTGTTTTAATAAATATCCTAACATACTCGTTTACTCAAACAGTTTGCAGTTTAGCAAGTAGGCGACTGCAGCGTTAAGTATTTCATCTAATTAGCACTAAACACACAACTTTAACTACATAATGTTATTCAAATATTGCAGATCCCATTATCATATATATTGTTTGTTTACTCGATTTTGCTTTTGTTGGTATTTACGTACTAATACATACACATATTTCTTAAAGTACCATATGCAAACCTAACATACTCTTAAATTAACTGTCGAAGCGATAGATTTATCGATAGATTTATCGTAACAGCGATGTGTTTGCAACCCTCGAGTTGCGGCCATCGAAATACTCGTTGCTCTCAGTTAAATGCGCTCATTATTTACAAAAATGCTTAATTCATTTGTAATGTTTTCTAATTAGTTAATTTAATTTAAATTCGATTTATTTTTATTAATTTTCTGTTGAGTGTTGAAAACTTATATTGATAATTGTTACTAATATACATAAACAATTTATGATTTCAATTTAAAAGAGAAAAGCAAAAGAAAAAGAAAAAAAATACATTCGAATTTTTAGCGAAATATTTACTAATAATATATTACTCTCTGCTCTCTTTTTCTCTTTCTCTCCCCAAAAAAATCTCTTTTCATATGCTCGATCTTTGAATAACTCGAAAACGAAAACAATTTACAATTTCTATTCACAATTATTAAATAATAATAATAATCATAACCAAATACTGACTGTATATATATACAAATGTGTGTGTGAGAACAGGCAACTATTCGCGCTTAGCCTGCGAAATACAATTCGTGCGTTCGATGGGCTATTATCTTATACAAATCTACATACCCTCTGGACTGATCGTTATTATATCATGGGTATCATTTTGGCTCAATCGCAATGCAACGCCGGCGCGTGTGGCGCTCGGTGTGACAACCGTGTTGACAATGACCACTTTGATGTCGTCAACAAACGCAGCGCTGCCAAAGATTTCGTACGTCAAATCGATTGACGTCTATCTGGGAACATGCTTCGTTATGGTCTTTGCCAGTCTACTGGGTAAACAAAATCTAGCGAAAAAAACAAAACACTTTTACCAACACACACCCCCTCAAAAAAAAAACAAAAACAGAATTTAAATTACAAACCAATCAAGTAGCCAAATACAATTAAATACCATAAATTCACAACAGCACCACACAGAAGCATCATCAATACGAACACACACATACCCTGTGAAATTTTGTGTGTTGCTTTATTTCTCGAAATTGATTTTGATACACATCTCGTACTATATCATTAGTTTTAGTTTTTGATTTCTTACCTTGGCGAAAGGCACTCGAACCAGCCAATATGCCAATACTTGCCACACCTTGCCACTCAACTTCGCTTAGCGTTTTGCAGCAAAAAAAAAAAAAAAAAACTACCACAGATACAAATACACTATCTTTCAACAGTCTTTTTTTACAGCAAAAAACAAAACCAAAATAAATATATATATAGTAACAAAATGAGAAGTTCAAGTAAATTTTGAATACGATTTACTTGAGCTTTTGGTACAACTTTTTGAGTAGATTTTTTTTATTGCTCAACAACTTTTCCCTCAACTCAATTTAATTTCCACAAAATTCATTTAATGCTGGTAGTAAAAAAACAAAAAAAAAAAAAACAATATATATATATCTATATATGTTTCAAATCTATTTATCGAGCCAATCAGCTTTCTATGTAAATTATCCAAAATTTTTGTACTGCTCTGGAAATATATTTGAAACAATTCTACTACAGTCCAGTCCAATGCTCTAACTTTTAACTTTCTCTCTTAAAATCCTAACATCTTAAGCAACAACTCACACTACTTTTTACCTAACAACAAACTCTCAACTCAGGTCAACAACAATGAGAACAAAAAAAAAAAAACAATGAAAAAAAATGATAAAAAAAAAAAATCTCTTTTTTCGTATTTGTATGTTATTGTTAATTTCTTCTATACAAAGAAACAATGCAACTATCATCTAAAGAAAATGTATGCAAATTCATAGATACGCGCGCTGCCCCACCCCCCGAAAACAGTAGGGGCACAAAATTTCCAAGCGAAAAGTTTTGCACACACACACACACACACACAAACAACAACACACACCCTACACACACACACACACACACACATATAGTGCACTAGTTAATACACATGCAGAGCTTTTAGAATACCCTTAAAACAATCGAAGCATGCTTCTGCAAGTAAACAAAAAAAGCATTTGGAATATTCAGAGAAAACCGCCTGCAAAGCAGCTTAAATTAGACAACTTCACACTCTCTTCCACCTTTATGTAAGCCAGAAGATATTTAGATACAGTGAATGATAGACTCTCGTTGTGTTTTCCAACACTGTTTTCTATAGTTTTTAACATTTCTTAATGAATGATACAAAGGTAACGCTGTTAATCAAAGAAGATCAGATTCAATTTGCCTCAAATTTCAACCATTTTTTAATTTTTACTAAAAACAAATTAAGATGGAAAATAGTTAAATATACTCGTAAACTCACAAAAGGTCGTACTTTACCTCTATGTAGCCATACTCGAGTACTCACAGAAGATCTTAGCCTGGAAGCATTTCTTAAAGTCTACTTTAACCATGCTCGAATAATCATAGAAGACCTTAGCTTAGGAGTATCTATTAAAGTCTACTATATACTTACAGAAGATCTTAACTTAGGAGCATTTATTTAAGTATACTCTAAACATACTCGAGTACTCACAGAAGATCTTTCCTCAGGAGCATCTTTTAAGGTTTACTTTAAACATACTCGAGTACTCACAGAAAATCTTTCCTCAGGAGCATCTTTTAAGGTTTACTTTAACCAGACTGGAACTCACATAAGATTTAACCTTAGTTGAATCTATCAAAGTCTAATTTGGCCGTGTTCCAGTACTCAAAGGAGACCTTACCTTAGGAGCATCTGTTAAAGTCGACTTTATGCTGCCTTGCAGTCAACTCTGAATAGCCCAAGTTTATATATGCCAAAAATTATTTTAGCCTTTTTAGCTTTACTCGTACTTAACTATTATTGTAGTCGCCTCAGGTTGACATTGTGTTCCACGCAACAAGCAAAACAAAAACAAAACATTACAAAAACTAAAAAAACTAAAAAAACAACAAAAAAACTAAAATGAGAATGAAAATGAGAATGAAAAAGATTTTTGTCATCATGATAATTGCATAGAGAAATGCACATGAGCGAACACATTTCAACCTGCAATGGTACCCAGATATTAATATACGCCCAGCTTCCACTCTAACGCAAAGCCTACGAACAGCCTAAAAACAAAAGCTACTTACCATACATATAAAAATTATGAAATTCCAAATCTGAAATGAAACAAACACAACGATTCTGAAATCTCCAGCCCAGGGGTACGAGCTAAAACCGAGCGCATTAAAAAATCCAATATGAATACCAGCATGCCTTGCGTCACACCTGGCTTGAGTCGCGATTGAATTGAATAAAATAGACAAAAAACGTAATAAGAAATATGTAAAAAAAAAAAAAAAAGAAAGAAAATACACTACACTGTATATAGAGTCCAAGAAGAAGACGATGTGCCGGCCATGCATAGCTGAACCTATATATCTAAAAACCTCAACAAAATTTGCCTTGATATATTTCTATATCTACATATATACACATATAACATTTGGCCTGTCAAGTCTGCGTCATTTGAATGTGTGGCCCAGACATGACAGGCGCAAATGTTGACGCCCAGGCAAACTCTCCACCATTTGAGGTTAGGTAAGATACGAGGCCGAAAGGGTCTCCCTCTGTTTCCATTCTCTATGCATTTACAGCAACGGCGCTCGGAGATCGGGTAAGTAAACTCGCTCGTTACTTGTTCTAAGAAACTATTTACTCACACCCAAAAAAAAAAGCCCTACCCAAACATTGTTGGTCAAACCAAACATAGCGCTCATCCTGTAAGTCTTTTGCGATCCATATATCCATATATACATATATACGATCCGTGCATGTGGTCCAGTTAAGGATTTGACATATGTGTATTACTCAAATAGACGTGGCGAAACGAAAAGCTGGAAATGTGTGTGTCCCCTACACAGGCGACTGTTCAATGAATTTGCATTTAAGGCACGCACATAAACATTTTCCTTGAATGATGGTCTCAACAGCAGATATAAATTTAATACATAAACCATTTGGCCAACAAATTAAATATAATTTTTTTTATCTTATTCGTTCACTCATTTCACAACAAAATAGAAACAAAAAGAACAACAGCAACAATAACATTAGCAGCAGACAGACAGATACTGACAAGCACACACACACACGCACACGCACACTCACACGCACACGCTCACACACACACACACACACAGACACACACACACAGAGACACGCATACACACACACGCACACATACACCAACATTTAGTCGTTACACCTTTATTGCTCTCTATCTATCTTTCTCTGTCTGTACTTACCTATCTTACCTCCACACACACCAACACACCAACACACACACACACTACACCTGCTTCTACACACTCTTTTTTGTTGCTTGGCTTACGAACAGAATATGAATTTATTCAATTTTTATTTAACAACCAACCAACGTGAACAACAACAAACACACGCACACAAACACACACACAAGTGACGTTGATTATTTATACCCTGTACCCTGGAAAATTGTGCAAGTCAAGAAGGGGGATAACAAGCTAATCGTTTTAACAGTCTGTCTTTATATACTTGTCGTGGGTATATCCTAGGTAGAATATAGCTTATCTTATATATTTAAAAGACTTTATAGAATCAATCTGGCTCTCAGTTTTAGAAGCACACTCAATTCAACTTAAAAGAGGAGCATAAAAGAGATAAAAGAGTCTCCAAGTTCTGCTGTTTGTTATAATCTTACCTGAATTTTGGGCTTGGATTTACTTCTAGATTCCTTAAAACACAACTAAACTCACTTTCTGCAAAAAATTTTAATATTTACATACATATTTACGAATATATTCGACGAATTGCAACAATTTTAATCTTCTGCTGCTAACATTTGATATCTTGGTACAGGGTATCGGCCAGTCGAGCACACTCGTCTGTTGTAATTCTGACTTTTATTACCCTGTGTAGTGCTTACCCAAAGCCCTTTCCCAGTTTTTCTGTTTCTTATTACATATACATATATATATTATCATATATCCAAAATTTTTCTAAATCACAATTTCCTTTTGCCATTTATCTTGCTTTACATAATATATTTGCATAATATTTATGTATTTATATATATTTATACGTACATTTACAAATGAATGCCAACAAGAAAAAAATAAAAATTAATATTTTCCAAAAAACGCTCCATTTTATCCCCCCCATAAACCGTTCCAAACCGTACTTCAAAATTACAAACTGTGCAACCATCCAACTAATGACAACAACTACAACAACTACAACAACAACAACTACAACAACTACAACTACAACTACAACAACAACAACAACAACCACCACCAACAATTATTCAACAATCATCTTAAAAAAACCTCATGTGGAACGCGACTTGATTCAAAATTTTGTGCATCCGCATTAACTCCTAAATTTTCCTCCCACCCAACACCACCACGTACCGCCCGCAACCGTCCGTACCCATTATCAAAATTGTTGCATTACGAAAAAAAAAAAATTAAAATTCTATAAACTGACAAAAATCAATTCGAAACTGTATCCAATATCCAAATATCATATCGCAATCGTAGAATACGCCACCGTCGGCTATATGGCAAAACGAATTCAAATGCGAAAACAAAGATTTATGGCGATCCAAAAGATAGCTGAGCAGAAAAAGCAACAGTTAGATGGTGTGCAGCAGCAGGCCAATCCGAATCCGAATGTCGGAGGCGGACCCGGTCCTGAGCATGGACATGGGCATGGTCATCATGCCCACAGCCATGGTCATCCGCATGCGCCCAAACAAACAGTGAGTAACCGCCCAATCGGCTTTTCAAATATCCAACAAAACGTTGGTACGCGCGGTTGCTCGATAGTGGGACCCTTGTTCCAGGAGGTGAGATTCAAGGTCCACGACCCAAAGGCACACTCCAAGGGCGGCACATTGGAGAATACGGTGAATGGCGGACGTGGCGGTCCCCAATCCCATGGACCCGGCCCAGTGCCCGGCGGCGCTGGTCCTGGCGGTGGCGGCGGCGGCGGCGGCGGTGGAGGCGGTGGCGGTGGTGGCGGACCGCCAGATGCTGGCGGTGATCCGGAGGCGGCAGTCCCAGCACATCTTCTACATCCGGGCAAAGTAAAAAAGGTAAAGGTAAATCTCGTACTCGATACGGCAATACCTCAAAATCTTACTTTATATTTACTTAAATCAAGATATTTATGCACAAATCAAGAATTTTAATTTTCTACTCCAAGAAATAATATTTATTTGTTGTTTTTCTTTTTCAGTATTCCTTTCTACTTAAAAGAAGCATTTTATGACCGAGCCATGATTTCGTTTATATTCTTAAGAATTCTTTAGTTATTTGTTGTTTTTCTTTTTCAGTATTCTCTTTTACTTAAATCAAGACCTTTATGCACTTGATATATATTTTAAGAATTCTTTACTTATATGTTGTTTTATTTTCAGTATCCTCTTGTACTCAAAGCAAGATTTTATATGCAAAAATAACAATTTCTTTTATTTTTTTAAGATTTCTTTACTTAAGAAATAAGTTTTTTTAAATAATTCTATCCTTTTTAAGATTTTCACCCTTTTGTACTTAAAACAAGACAAGATTTAATCAAGAATATTTTATCTTATTTTATCAAGCTAATTGGGAATTTTTTATGTTAACAAATTTCGCTATTATATTTGAATAAGATTTTTTTTTCTTGAATCAAGTGTTTTGTACTTACTTTCAGAATTCTAGTTTTACTTTATTTTATTTTCAAATATCTCGTGCTGCGTGTACTTCAATTTTTAAGTTCAAATTCGCTCGATTTTTTGTTTTGTGGATTTAGAAATTGTTCTTTGAGCAATATTTTTATACATTCTTGTAATAAAAACAAGTGTGAATCGTACTTGAAGTTTAAGGCTCGTTTTTCGTTCGTCTTTTTATGCTTAAATCAAGTTTATTTTTGAAGAATTTTGAATTTTTTTTTTTAATTTTTTTGAAACTTTAAGATTGCCTTTTGTTCGTTTTCCGTGTTCAGTTAAAAGAATCTCGCAAAGTTTTTTTTTAGTTTGCTTTCCATATTGAGTTCTAGTTTATCATATGGTATATATTAATAATTTGTGATCCTCTCGCAGGATATTAACAAACTGCTGGGCATAACGCCCTCGGATATTGACAAATACTCGCGCATTGTGTTTCCCGTGTGCTTTGTGTGCTTCAATCTGATGTACTGGATTATCTACCTGCACGTGAGCGATGTCGTTGCCGACGATCTTGTCCTGCTCGGGGAGGAATAAATCGCCACGCCCCCCAAGGAGGCGACGGCAACAATGGACAACAGCGCACAAGAGAGTTAAACTGTGCAAGGCGCTGAAAAACAACAAAAAAGAAAAATAAAAAAAAATTAAAGCAAAAAAAAAACAGATGATTAACCAAAAACTAATTTTAACTAGCGATATGGAGAAATGCAAAAGGCAACATATTATTGTTAAATACTAAAAATAAAAATTAAAATAATAATAATAAAAAAATAAAGACACACACATATTACGGACGAGAGTAAAGAATATTGTTAAATAGATTTACGCAAAATAAAGAAAATAAATATTAAAAAAAATAGCATAAATAAAGATGAGGAAGACGAGGAGCAGCAACAACACGATGAATAATCAAAAGCAAATAGTAGAAAATATAAAAGGTGCAGCAGAAGCAGAATTAATATAAAGATATAAAAAAAAAAACGGAACAAATAGCAAAGAAAATAAAGCACAGACAACAAGAATTAATTTCAGACTCACATAATTCAAATTTTTAATACACCCGATGCAATTGACATAAGCTAATATAGAAAACCTAACTATAAAGAAAAACTCTTAAAAAAAAAAAATGAAATGAAGGGAAAACCAAAGTGAAAGAAACATTTTTTGAGAGATTTTCAACTAGTTTCCATTTCATTTGTATCGATTCTTACTTTGCCCTTACTTCCCTCCCGAGCAGACAGTCAACTAGTCTTCCTTAGTTTAGGCGAAAACTAAATTTAGTTTATGGTTTTTAAAACAAACCCCCCTTCCCCCAACCCCAACAACCCCCACACAACCCTCCACAGGAAATACGTCTAAAGGGCACCTCATCTATGGCATCGAAAATATGTTTCTTGATTTTTCAAAACTGAACACTTTTTAGCGCTTCCAAGAAAAATGGCCAAATTTTGTAGGAAAAGTGTAAAACAACCAATTTTCAAATTAAGCAAATCATTTAATTTAAAGCGAATGAAAACAAACGAAAATAATAATACTACTCTTAAAAAAAATAATAACAATTTTTAAATAATTTGCACATGGAAAATTATACAAATAAATACAAAGAAAAATTCTTATGCATTACTATCAAAGGCACCTTTTGTATGCGAAAGGCATCGGGCATATATAAAAAAAAAAACAAAAACAAACAAGCAAAATAGTTAATTCAAGTTTTAATAAACGATTTTATTTTCAACAAATTTTATAAAAAATATAACGCAAACTAATGCAAACAGGAGGAATAAACCGAATATTTTAAATGCACACCACAAAAAAGATAAAATCCAGACAACTTTGCGGCACAATTTCGAAAGCAAAGTGGAAAAGAAAGTCGGCTGTGCTCGACTAGGGGATACCCTGAACCCAGCGACAAGCTGCCCTGGGAAATATTCACGTTTTCTTATAAGCAGAGCGCTTCTTCTTCTATGCGCTGTTCCTTGTGAAAAAAAGCATTCCCGTATAACTTCGGTGTTTATTGTCCCATCTCTATGAGACTTTCAGGACTTGATTATGACACCCAAATGTGTGTGCATACCAAAGCGCAAGGTTCTAACTTTTATTCTGATCTAATTTTAGATCTTTAAACTACGGTAACCTCCATGCCATGCCCCAAACTCCATTTCTCAGCATCGACATTTAACGATCATGAAAATGTGAGAAGTGGAATGTACATATACTCCAAATTCCCAGACTCTTTCTTGTGTCAGTCTCAATGGGTTCAGGGTAGATAAAAGATAACACACAATAGACGAGTTACGAATCGAAAATAAATAGAGTTATGTACACCAAATTTGAATGAAACTGCCTAAAAAGAAACTTAGCCTATAAGCATCACAAAATAGTTGTTTAACAATGACGATAGTTGATAGTTTAATTGATTTTTATGACGTGGAGATATTTAAGATTTATTATTTTCAAATTGTATATAAAAACTGATGAAGCAGCAGCAGCCGCAGCAGGAGAAGCGCAAAGTAGGAGCAAAACTTCGCAAAATGAAAATAACAATTAATTAAAATTAGTTAAATGTAATTACAACTAGTTAAAGCAACTCAGACACAAGTTCAAGCAGTCAATAAAGCGATAAATACATATAAACAATGCACCATTTAAGCTTAGTATAATACTCACACACACACACACACACACACTCACACACACACACATACACATAAGTACATTTGAAGTTTTGGTAAAGTTCCTCAAAAAGTATTTAGTTAAAAGTGAGTTTTAGTTTGAATACCAAAACCTAGCACAATACTGAGTAAATTTAACGAAATCACGAATACCATAAAAAAAAAACAACAACAAACAAATATATCATCATAAAGTTTTAATTTATTAGTTATGGTAAGAGGAAGAAGCGGAAGCAGGAAGCTATATCTAGGCCCAAAGTTTTTTGTACAGTTAGCTGAGATGAGGAGGGGCGGCTATAGCTAATGCTGAGTTATACACCATATATGTATGAGTAGTATTATGTATATGGGTAATATGATAGTTATATACAGACACAGACACACGCATATACCTATTATATAGACAAACACACACACACACTTACACACACAGACACATCTGCATATAATATATGTATGTGTACTTTATGCAATGAGTATATACAATAACATAACGTATTTAAGCACCTATATGTAGCACGAGTTTTTTATATGTAAACAAACAAAAAAACAAACAATTAATTTTATATATATATAGTATATGGCAAAAAGTACTCCCATAGTAAGGTATACTGGCAGTGTAAGCTAAATGAAATTACAATTCTAGGCGCAAGACTGTCGATAAATTGAGGAATATTATAGACACAGATGAAGAAGAAGAAGAAGAAGGAGAGGAGGCAGCAAATAAAGACAAATAGCTAAATCTACACAGTCAACAAGGAACAGCTACCCTTAATACCTATAATACATACACTTAACCAAACATAACCTAACTAATGATACATCTAGATACATCTGAAGGAAACAACAACAAGCAAAAATTACTTTATTAACTTTCTAGACACACACACACGAACAGACACACACACAAGAGAACACACTCACGTATAAATTAAGTGAAAGTAAAGCAATTGAACTTTTACCTAGATTTTTGTATGATCAGTTGAGCCAAGTACTTACCTACATGGATTTGAGATAAACTGCAACTGCAATTGATTTACACAAATACACCCGAAGGAGAAGAAATATAAGAATTCAAATAAAATAAAGAAGATAGTTTACCTTCGGCATGCCGAACATTGAATACCCTTGTAGACGTTTGGCAGTTATATGAAAGCGAATTGAGAAGCTTTTTATGGCAGAGTTGGGCTTAGATATCTTGAGATTCCAAAAACAAATTCATTCTTCGAGCTGATCTTTCCATAGAGCTCGTTTAAAAAGTCATCCGATATGAAAAGCCCGTGGTTCAAATGTGTAAAGCCTGGTAGAACTCGTAAACGCCAAGTTAAGTGAAGATATCATTCGAAACAAACAAGTTTTTCAAACAAGAACTTAAGCTTCGGTCTATTGTTCCTATTATTCCTAAAGTGGTCCGTTGTTAAAAAGATATGGCTCGTATATAAAAAGCATCGTAGTCTAATAAATGTCGCCCTTTTCAGGAAATTTCAAAGAAGAAAAATGCCTTTTTATGCCAGAACTTAGTTTTTGACCGATATTATTAAAGTCGTCCGATCCGGAAAGCTCCGAACTATGAACGCCAACAGAGCCTATTTCATCGAACTTGCCATATCGACTAATCCATTGATGCTGATCAAGAATATATATGCTTTATAAGCTCGAAAATGTCTTAAGTCACGTGATTATAACGCCTACCTACAAGGGTATATTGGAGAAGAAGACGAAGAGCAGTGAGAACAGCAATGAAAAACTATTCTTAGGAACACAATTTTTTCAGTACATAGTTAGAATCAGGCAGCAAACTCAACTCGAACGCGACAGCAAGTGAAATCGGTGATAAAAACAAAGACAAAAAATAAAAAACAAAAAAGAAAAGCACATAAATATATATATATGTATAACTGGCATATACTATATACATATATATTTTGTAGCTATACAGGTGTCGGAATTCAATTATATTACCGAGAAAAAACGAAAAACTAAGAAGAAGATGAAAGAAAAAAACAAAAATAGTTAAATCAAAATGTTTATAAATTGAAAAAATTGGATACATGCATAAGCGATATATGAGATTTATCGGTAAAACGTTAAACGATAACAAGAAACGATTACAAAAATCGATAACAACAAGAACAAATAGCTGCTCAACGGTTTCGGAGCGTATTTCCAAAAAAAAAAAGATGAAGCATTTTAGTTGTAAACAAAAAAAAAAACAAAACAGATAAATAGCTGAGAATTTGTAAAAAAAAAAATAAACCAAAAAAGGAAAACAACAAGAACAATTAATGAATTAATTAAGTTAATGTATTTACTTTTCATATTCTTTTTTACTCTACACCTAGTTAACAATATAATTTGTCAAAAAAAAAAAGGAGAAAGAAATAACATTTAGTTGGCTATAGTGAAATTTTGTAATGGAAATATTTAAGAATATTTATAAAAATTAAAAAAAAAAAATAATAAAAAAACAGAAACAAGAGGCAAAGCATTTAGGACAAATAATGACACAAGCCCTTAAAAAAATATACACACACACTCACACACGCAAAGAAGAAAAAAAAAACAAAAAATTAATAGACGAAGAAGAAGAAGACGAAACCAAAGAAATGTTTGAAGCATTTTTGGTGCCGCCTTTTTAGAGGGGCGGCACCAGACACCAAACACATTTTATAATGAATCTGAGAAATGATATGTATGTATATACGTATATACGCAGTACACATATACACATATATGCATATGGTATGACATAGTTTAGATGTATGTGCATGATGTAATAATTACATTGTGCATGTACATTATGTATAATAAATGTATGTATATTATATATGTATGTATGATGGTCTCAAAAATGAAATTCTAAAGTATTTAGATAAGCAAAACCAGTTAAAAACTTAAGGCATTTAGTCAAGGCAACACACACACACACACACGATACACACACTAACACACACACACACACACAAACACTCATAAGCGCGCACCAAACATTTTTTAAATGCAAACCAAAGTAATATAATGATAAAATGTTAATAAAATAATTATAATTATTAATATATAGAAACCATAATCCCAAACACAATACGAACTACAATTGGAAAATTGCACAAAATAAACTGCAAAATTTAAATTGAATATTTAACTCACACACACTCACTCACTCACACACACACTCACTCACTCACACATTCAAACATTCTTATGGTTGTACATTTTCTGATATTATTATTTCAGTTTTTTGTTTATAGCAGAAACATTTTCCAAGCAAAGCAAATCACTTTTATGAAATGTTTACGAAACGCATTTCAATAATTATAAAACTTAAGTCTTGTTATCTAATTGTTAATTTGATTTGTTGCTCAATTATTGTTAACAGCATACATTTCTCAAAAAAAAAAACTCTAGTCGGGCATGCTCGACTAGCAGATACCCTGAACCGAGAAGACAAATGCATTCGTATTGAACTTCGGTGCTTAAAGTCCGATCTTTATGAAACTTTCAGTGCTTGAAGATGGCGAGCAAACCAAATCCCAAGGCTCTATCTTTGGCCTAATTATCCGAATGTTATATATTTCCAATCTGTGTATACTCTACGAGAAGCTACATGCACAGTTCTATGTATCTAGTTCTCATGCATTTCGAGCTATGCTCAAGCATCAAAATCGATATTTATCGATAAGAGGAAAGTGAAAGCAGATATCGATAAACAAATGAGTAGCTCGTTCTTCACTCGATATAGATGAATGTATACTTCAAATTACAATTTATCAGATGGTTTCAGGGTATAGGAAAAGTCAAATCCTTTGCACAACTCGCTGCAAATTCCGCCAGCTGCAAACTTGCATTTTCCACAGCATATTCCTTTTCGAGGCATTACCTAAACAGCTCTCTCTCTCTCTCTCTCAGACAACCATTGACAGCTGTCTATAATTTTTGTTTTTTATCCGTCCATTAAAGAAGTTCCTAATTGCAATAAATGAAGATTTGTTATTGATTATCACCAGCACATGTCAGCAGCCAGCGAGAAATCACACAACAACTCCCACGGAGCAGTCAATTCTTGAACATCATTTTCATTTTTTTGTAAATCAATTGATTTTCCTTATAACTCATTTATTTCTCACTGACACAGCTCGACCTCTTGTCAATTATATTTTCAAAAAGTCTCTCGCTTCCGCTCATCAGTTTTTCACTTCAATCACAAACTCTGCACATTTCCGTTGCTCAAAATAATCAAACCCAGTATAAATACCCCGAAATATTAGATAAGCAGGAAGCATTATGTAACTGTTTGAAAACGGCATAAAACCAAAAAACAAAACAAAAGTAATAATAATAAACAAAATAAAAACAAATTAATTTAAAACGTAATGCGTATGTAATGATTGATCACTGATCACAAATTTTGACTGTGTTAATTTCGTTATATATAAAAACAAAAAAACTAAAAACAAACCAAAAAAAAAAAAAAAGGAATAAAAAATATAATGAAATATCTATAGCGTATAACAAATAAATACACACATAACAAACACGCAATAAATGTTACAGAAAGAACAAAAACAAGAACAAGAACAAGAACAAGAAAACAAAAACAAAAAACGAACCTATAAAATTAAGTTGAATGCTAAAATGAAATGCGTCAAGTAAAGACAATGGGGCAACATCCAAACCAAGCAAAAAGATAATTATTATAATATTGCAAATGAAGCGAATACGAATAAAGATATGGAAAAAACATAACATTTCAATTTGTTTTCCTTATGTGCTACCCAATGTCCAAAGTGTTCTTTGTGGAACTTATAAGAGAACTTTATAGATTCAAAGGTTTACCTTCTTATTAGGCCCCATAACTCGGACAAATCTCATCTGATTCGCCCGAGGTTTGGCTTTTTGTTCATGGTTTGGCATCTAGATCAATTTCGCATATAAATCTGTCAACATTATATTTGGTCGAAATTCATGTGGAAAGGATACCCTCACATATCCTATATAGACATAGTTTTAAATTTCCCACCCCCATAACTCGGTCAAAACTCCATCGATTTTCACGAGGTTTTGGTCTTTGTTAATGGTTTGACCCTTAGATTAATTTGACATTTTATTCTGGGAACCTAATTTTTGGTCGAAATTCATGTGAGATTGGTACCCTCAAATATCCCATATAAGCATAGGTCGAAATTTCCCACCCCCAAAACTCGGTCAAATCTTAACCGATTTTCATAAGGTCTGGCTTTTTGTTCATGGTTTGGCCTCTAGATCCATTCTGCATCTAAATCTGGCAACATTAATTTTGCACGAAATTCATGTGAAAATGGTACACTCAAATATCCTATCTGGACATGGGTCAAAATGTCCCACCCCCATAACTCGGTAAAATTTCATCCGATTTTCACACGGCTTGGCTTTTTGTTCATGGTTTGACCTCTAGATCAATTTTCCATCTAAATATGGCAACATTATTTTTGGTCGAAATTTATGTGAAAATGTTATCCTCAAATATCCTATATAGACATGGGTCAAAATGTCCCAACTCCATAACTTGGTCAAATCTCATCAGATTTTTACACGGCTTGGCTTTTTGTTCATGGTTTGGCCTCTAGATCAATTCTGCATCTAAATATGGCAACATTATTTTTTGTCGATATTCATGTGAAAATGGTACCCTCAAATATCCTATCTGGACATGGGTCAAAATGTCCCACCCCCATAACTCGGCCAAATTTCATCCGATTTTCACCGGGCTTGGCTCTTTGGTCATGGTTTGGCCTCTTAATTAATTTGGCATCTAAATCTGTCAATATGTTGCTTGGTCAAACTTTATCTAAAAATGGTACCCAAGTATCCTATATACCCATAGGTCGAATTTATACCTATCAACAATTTCTTTTTATATTTAAATTCTTCACCTATTCCACCGAGTTGCTGGAAAGCAAAGTCCAGTTGTTTACTGTTTTGAAATATTTATTTATTTATTAATCGTTTAAACAGAAGTTTTAGCTTATGACGCGAACTTTGCCTCATCGGAAATTAACATACAATACATTGCGGTAAATTTCAATAATTTGATTTATATCATATTTATATTTAATTGAACCCAAAGAGAGCTCTTCATACGTTAATCAGTGATTTATGCTTTGAGTATTTTAACTAGACGATTCGCAAAAATTTCAATAGGCATTTCAGGTATAATCGAAACAAGTCAATTGAACTAAATTAAACTAATTTGAGTAGACTTTTAATAACATTGTACAACGATATACATAAAGAAGACATACATATATTTATATATACATATATATATATATATGTATTTGAAGCAAACTAGCTGAAAAGAAATTTTCTACGGTATGCACAATTCCTAGTGCTAACAATGAGTATATTTAATTAATATTATTACAATTACTTTTTCTTTTGCAACAGAACATTAATATTTGACTATGAGTTGAAATTTTGGCTGGTATTCGTACTGTTAATCAAGCGCAATTAAATTATACACATATATATATATATATGTTATATTTTTAACTAGAATACGTATTAATATGTAGTTGACTTAGATATATACACATACATATATAAATACATATATATATATATATATTATTGCTCGATTATAAGCTGATATTCGAAGATCCGTTTCAGAGACTGAGAGAACTACAACGACCGCATCGAGAGGAGGTTACTTTTACTATGTGGGCCTCCGATCTGGTCTGGCTTGAGTTTATTGAGCTGTATCGTTGTCTTAGATTATGTTTCGTCAAATTGTGTTTATTGTTTAGTCGCAGCCTGTCTGTGAGAGTATATGTGCTTGTCGTTAATTGAATACAGTGTGTGGTTCTCATTCTGAGCCGAACGGGTTTTTAGTCTCTATATAGAACGGTTATCGTGCTCAATGTTTGTTGTGTGTGTGCCTAAAATATAACGAACAACATTTAAGTAGAGCCTGGCTGTTGCCTTTAGGGAGTTGGCATTAGCTGTCTAGGCATTCGACTCTTTCAGATTCTCCAAGCGTGCCAATTGATTTGAGTCCAGTTCCTCGGGTATGCTGGCCCGTCCGCCGACCACCTGCTTGGGCGCCTCAATCACATCCTCGGCCGGTGCCTCACAATTCATGTCCAAGCTGCTCGACTGACCTCCGCCCCCGCCACCACCGCCTCCGGCTGCAGCTCCAGCTCCAGTTCCGGCTCCAGCTTCAGCTGCAGCTCCGCTGGCAGCAAATGCATCATCGAAATTAGCATCGAAATTGGCCTCGAAGTCGGCCTCAAATCCAGTGCTGCCGCCTTCAGCAGCAGCTGCTCCAACAGCCTGGACAGCGCCAGTTGCGGATTTCTCAATAAACGGATCCTCCGGCTCCTGCAGGACGGGCACATCGGCCGCGGTCGTATCGCTGCCGCCATCCAGGAAAGACTGTTCATCCTCTGCATGACAGGATGGATATTCTGTCAGTGTTATGGTTACATTGGAAACCAATTGAACACCACCGACCCCAACAACATCATCATCGCCAACACCAATATTACCTTCTTTGGCAGCGGACGCTGCCGGCGGCGGCGGCTGCTTCTGGGCCGCAACTTTGGCCTTCGGCTTCGGCACAATATCGGGCTTTTTATCCAACACCGGTTTCTGTTCCTTCGCTTGCTGTGAATTGTCCCTTTCTCCTACTGGTGGGAAAGATTTATCGGCACCGTCTTCAACCATTGGGGTTGCAGCGGTAACAATTATTTGTGCCATACCTAAATTCAAACTATTCGCTGTGGCCGTCGCCGTTGCGCCCTCAACCGGCTTGGTTAACTGCGGTGGCGGCAACGACGGCGGCGGCTTCTCATCGTCACTGAAATCGTCCTGCAATAGACAAAATGTCAATTAGTTTCCACAAATTTACTTAATTTTTTAGTTAGTTTATTTATATTCATGACTTGTGCGTGTTGCCCGGCCTTGCCGGACTCTGGGCATATTTAAGAGTACCCATTCCACCCTGAAATCCACATCCCAAGTTATATCTTACATACATACATCGAATTAAGAATCAAAACATGGAATCTACATTTTTCACCGACTTTATTTCCATTTTGTGAAGCTTAAAACCCAAAAATAGGGTCTCGCATTTTTCAACAAGAGGCGTGGTTTGGCAAAAGGTGTGAAAGACGTATGGAATACATTTTCACAAAGATCAAAGATTCAAAAATTCGGTTGGTAATCATAAAAGTTGCCTACAACCGTTTTAAGCTTATTTTCCACTATTGCGGGTGAAATTTATTAAATCGCCGTAATACGGGCTCATTAAATGTTTACGTAGAGCTCCTAAGTGAATTCAAATCCGATCGGACGGTCTATATTTTATATCTAAGTAGGATAGAAATTGCAAAATACAAGCTTAAATAAAAAGACCCTTGGAAATGGGCTTGAATCCGCAACTTCAACCAACAAATCGTTGACGCCCATTTCCACCAATCTCAAGTGGATTTTCCGAAATGTGTGAAAAAATCCAATGAGTGAGTTGACAAAAAGACAGTTGGAATTGACATTGAAGCCGTTCGGACAGTAAGCAAAAAAGTAGCATGCAACCATTTGACGAATTTATTCCACGAATTTTTCACACATTCTGGTGGAATTTTGAAAAACCGCGCTATTATCTTTCGCTTTAATCAAATAAAAAAACAATAATTAAAAATTCGTCGTGTGTTCTCAGTCAGGCTCTCTGTCCGTCTGTGAATCAATCAGTCCGTCCGTCGGTCAATATGTCAGTCAATCAGTTACGATAAAAAGTATTATACATATAAATATTTTGGAGTAGGGTATTTAAATGTAATTACCTCCATGCCAGGCTCTTGTATAAGCACTGAGTTAGCATTAAATATAAAGAGAAAAAACTTGATTTAGTCGATTCAATTGGGACTTGGTTTTTAAATCATAAATTCGCATTTTTAAGAACCCTTTATCAAGTGAGTGAGAGCGGTGAAATCTCAATTAAATATTGGAAGACTCGATTAAGGGAACAAGATCTTTAACTTGGAAAACATCCAACAGCTAGACATATTTGTACACAAAGGGTTCGGTAATTAATTAAAAAGGATTATAAATTATATAAGACAAACAAAATATTGTATATATTTACATTTATTCATACGTTCGAGGAAATGGGGTTTCGACTGGGGCGCATGCACATGCTATATGTATCAGATAAAAGATCTAAAAAATACATATATGAATAGCACTTGGGGGTCAAAAATAGGCAGCTTTTTGAGCTGAAGAGGTTTATCAAATGTACAAAGCTTTGTAACTTTAAAGCAAGAAAGGAGAATAATACATATAGAAGAGCCAGAAAAGGTACTGAAGCATTACTGGGTATCTGCTAGTCGTTTACACTCGACTAGAGCAGGTTTATTTGTTTTATTTAACTTTACTGAACTACATTTGGGACACATTAAACATTAGTTTTATTACAGGGTATTCACAGAGGCTGATAACCGTTTTATTTGCTAACTTTTTGGAAGAACTCTGAACTTTTCCAATATTTTTTGCGTATAAAAGTTAGCAAAAGCTAGCAAGCAGCACTATTGCATACCCTATATTAAACAATCTACGAATATTAAAAAAGTTCTGAAGATAGTTTTACGAAAATAGCCATAAATATCGACTGCAATTTCAGAATAAGATATCAAGAGCATATATGTACACACATTTTAAGAAAGCGCAAACAGCACACTTAAGGGTTAAGGTTAAGAACCATTTAAATATGAAACATTGGACACGAAAAGTTTCTTACACGGAGCGAAAGGCAAGTTGTACACAGCAATAAAAAAAAGATAGTTACCAAATTGTGACAAATTGTGAAAAATACCAATTGGTTAAAAAATGGTGCCAAAAATACACACAAATTACTACGAACAAACAAAAACAATCTTGAAAACGAGAAGGTATCAAAAACAAAATAAAAAAAAAAACAAATACAAAAATTTCAGAATCGTAGAGATCGTAATTAGTAGCATAGCAGGAAACACCAACACACGAGGAGACACGTTGTAAAGCAGCCTAAAGAACACTGTAAAGAATTTTAGTTTTTAGTTCTTAGCTTCTGGTCTTGCTTAGGACACGTTAAACAATATTTAAGTTTTTTCGTTCGATTAAGAGATAGCACATTAAACGGGGTGTGTTTAGAAATAGAGCCCTGCATCGGTTAAATTATTTGCATAAAACTCGGATACTCGAACGATTTAAACAAAAACCAACAGATTCGAGCTTTCGCGAAACACGAAGTCAGTCATACAAACGAAGTTCGAGCTACTCGATGTTGCAACACGTTCGAGTTCGAACACAACCAAACGAATCGAACTTAGAGCGAACGCGATGCAACCGAATTTTCAATCGACTCGAGCGACTCAATTGGTTGTCAACAACTCGAAGAGCTCGAGACGAACAATTTCAAGTCTTGACTCGCTCGATCTAGAGAATTGTTTGAGTATCCGACGCGGATTAAGGTTGACTCAATGCTGGGCTCTAGTTTGAAGAATAGTTACAGTGACGGTGTGGAGTAGATCTGTAGGTTTTGGTAGAGGTGGTTGGTTGTGGTTGTGGTGGTGGTATTGGTAGTTAGTGGTGGTTAGTAGTTGGACGAGCTGCACTTGAAGATTATGTTTGGGTACCTCTAGAGAATATATAGAAGCAGGTATAAGAGTACTTTCGAGTTTTTGGTGAAACATGAAACAAATACATAAAAGATGGTTTGTTCTATAGAGATCAATGTGGCGTGTGTTTATATAAATATGTAAAAAGAGAGAGAAACAGAGAAGAGACTAAAGTGTGTCTAGATGGCCAGGACAATTACCTGGCGGAGGCATGCTGGGCACTGCAGCTCCATTGGGTATATAGCCGCTGTCCCGATCCTCATCTGCAGCGAAGACAGGAGAGATTTGTTGACTAGTTATTTGGGTCGCACTTTGTGGCAACTCACCTGCCGTATCCTGTGATCCGAACATATCCTCCGTTATGTCCGTCAGCTCGTGCGCGTACTCTGCCGGCAGAGCTGGCGCCGGCGGCAATGCAAAACTGGGCGCTGCTGTCGGCGGCGGCGACTCGTCGTCGACGCCCTCGCTCAGCGGTTCGCCCATTTCGTCGCACTCCTCGACAACCAGCGATGGAAAATTGCCAAATTTGCCATCCAGTTCGCCCTCCCACCAGCCGTCGTCGACGCCGTGCGCGGTCTTGGTAATTATCTTGATCTTGTCGCCCTCCTCGAAGGTGAGCTCATCCTCGGCGGTGGCATCGTAATCGTAGAGCGCAATGCACCATTCGATGTCCGATTTGAGGCGCTTTTGTGGCGCCATTATGACCGATACCTGATCGGGCGATTGCATTGAGTCGACGGTCTGATCTTCATTGTCAACCGTATAATCGACAGATGAGAATGAGATTTGTGAGCGCAATTGATTGCCTGAACTACCATTAAAGGCGCTACCGGCCGCGTCCTGCTCAATGTCCAGATAATTGTGCGGCACGTAGCCCTCCTCGCCCCGATAATTGCGCGCCCGCAGCCAGCCATCCCCATCTCCTTCCCCGACCACCTCCAGCTGCTCGTTCTCAACAATTGTGAGCTCGTCGGGATTTTGGGCCTAAGATCGAGATACTCCATTAGTAAACCCCATTAAGATCTAGTCTGTCCCACTCACCGTGTAGCTGTAGAGCGCGGTGCACTTGAAGATGGCCTCCTTGGGCTCGGGCACAATGGGATCGTCCTTGTCGTCGTCGGCCTCCTCCCAATTGACCTCGGTCGGATCGTCCCAGCCGCCTGCATTGCCGGCGTTCAACTTTTGCGCCGGTGCCGCAACGCTTGGCTGTGCCCTTTCCTGCTCCTCGGGCTCCTCGTCGCTGTCACTGAAGGTGCGATCCCGCGAGAACGTCTGCTGTTGCTCCGGCTTGCTGGGCTTGGCTACGGTAACGGCCGTGGCACCAGCTGCCTCCTCCTTGTCGCTGTCGTAGAACGAGTCGGAGCTGGGATTCTCGCCCTGGCCGGAGGCATCGGTGCGCATGGATATGGAGCTGGCCGAGCGTGTTAGCTCCTGGACGCCCATGATTTCCGCCTCCTGTACCCATTCGTCCACATTGATGCCGCCGTCGCGCAGACACTGGAGGCACGCCTCCGCCTTGGCCTTTTCCGTTTCGGAGCGACGTATCTGATCGCGGAACTCATCGATTTTCGTATCCAGATCTGGTCCATTCGGATCGTTGGGATCGGTACGCTGGCCGGCATCCCGCAGCGATTGACACAGCGCCAACTTCTTGGCATGCTCGCGTATCGAGGCATTCTCCTTGACCACACGACCCGCCAGATTCTTGGCCTCCTTGGTCAGCGTCTCGGCAGCCGAGTCGTGCTCGGCGGTCACCTTCCGCACCGGATCATTATCGCATGCCTCAAAGTCGTACTGGATGTGCTGCTTCAGCACCGGGTAGAACAGATAGCAGCACTGCAGATTGTACTCCCTGGTCAGCTGCTGTGCCTGGTCGCGTATCTTGCCAAAGCTATTCTGCGTCGCCGAGCAGGTTAGCAGCTCCGTGCGCCTGTAAAAGACAACATATGATATCATATATTATAAGATATATGCTGGGAAGGGTCTATGAAAGGTCAAACAATTTTGGGTGACTCGAATCCTTTGAAAATGGATTTAAAGGGGCATATTGTCCATATTGGTCCGTCTCTCTGTCTGTCCGACCGTCCCTCTGTCCTTCTTATATGAGCTAATCGATCTCAGAGTCTACAAAAGCTAGACACTTGAAATTTTAAGTTTAGCTCCTCCTTTTGTCGAACCATATCAAGTTGATTTGAAATGATCAATAACTTGCCCTGTTTCTATGAAATCGATAAGAATCGTTATCGAAATCCTGTTTTCTTAGCATATCTCGGCCATTCTAAGAGCTAGACAAACCTAATTTGGTATGCAAATTCTCCTAGGGAATACACAGATTTAGAGCCTGTCACTTTTAGGAAACCTCCTCTATTTCCCCTTATATTAAAAAGAAGAAGAACTTTTGGAGTTATAGCCTTGGACTTTGGTATTTATACACACTTGTATGCCATAATTATGCCCTGAATATTTCATAAGGATCGGAGAATTAAGACCCAAGTTCTCTTAGTGGGGGGATAGGGAAAGAAGCATAGCCAAGGTGTTAACTGGACATATTTTTGTGTGTGCATCTATAGAAGTTAACTTTGTTTTTGTAATGACGCTGGGTTCAAGGTTCACTCTTGTTTTCCTTCATTTTCCGAGTAGGTACACCCCTCTCTCAGGTCAACCCTCTTTGACCGAAAGTGGACACTAATTTTTTGGTCTCTGAGCGGAATCAAGAAATTTTGAACGATTTTAAATATTATGAATGAATGTCATTTGCTTTTGCTTTTTTTTGCCTTTGGAGCTGACAACTCAGTAGGGGGAAAACCTTTCCAATTCCTAACCATAGATAAAACCCGGGCTTACCCCATTAGCATCAGATACTCGGCGACCCGCTCGAAGACGTAGTTCTCCATGGTGGTCATTGTTGTCTGCAAATCGACGGTAAAATAGCGATTCTGATGGGCATTGGCAGCGGCCAGGCTCAAGATGTAGTCGTTGCGTGCTCCGGAGGATTTCTCCTCGAGCAGCTCCTTGCGCGATGTGACCCGGGCGCTGTTCTTCTGCAGCGAGGTGATGGACTGAAAGAATGAGCCCTTCTTCTTCTTGAGCTTCTCCTCAATATCCTTGGCCTTGTCGCGGACATCGTGGGCGCAGTGCTCCTCATCAAAGTACGATTTCTTGGTCTTGTCCACATCGCCAACGCTCAAGTGCAGCTCCTTCTGCACGTTGACAATGCCCGCAAGCGAACGCTTGGCAATGGCCAGCTTGTAATCCCGCAGCACCTTCGACTCGTCGGCGATCTGTTGCTGGAACACCTCGATGGCCGCGAGGCGAGCGCGTGCCAGCTTCTCGTTCTCCTCCAAGACGGTGCGCCAAACACTCCACATGTTCCTTGGTAGAGTTCGGGAAAATTGGAAAAAGGTTTTTCCAGATCTGCCAATCGGTAAACTTACCAGCGCTCCTCCATGCCGTCCATTTTAATATCGGGTATATTGGGTATTTTCTTGTTGAGATACTGCGATGAGATCTTGAGCAGCGCCTCGCTATACGATTTCTCAATGGCGGATCGCTTGAGCGTGAACTGCCGGATGTCGTCCAGCAGATCGCACTCATGCTGGTTCTTTAGCTGCAACTTGGCCACCTGCTCCGTGTGCAAATTCTTCAGGAATTTCACATAGTTACCCTGGAATATGATACGATATGATATGATATGATATGATGATAGGAATATCTGTGGGGTTAGCTGGGGGACTGCTTGGGGTTTACCTTGCGCGGCGGCGGCTGCATTCTGTTAGCTTTTGGCAACTAGCGCGGTTTATCAGAGAAGCAGAGCAGAGAAGCGTTTGGTTCTAGTCGAGCTCCAATCAAATGGCCTTACATTACCTTAAGCAGCTGCAAGTGTATGATGTGAGGTGTTTGGAAACGGGATTAATGATATTGACCACAAAAAAACTTATGTAATAGAAGCGTTTAAACTTTGGCAAGCCGAGCTAATGCAGCCTCTTAAGCACTTTTACATAATCGAGCAAATATGATTGGGGAAATTCATATGAAAATTTTCACTGGAGCAGCAGCCCTGGCCCTGGCTGTCCCCTGCTGATATCGATTTATGTTCAAGCAGAGCTTGTCTAATAATTTTTCCTCTCTCGCCTAGCACTACGATGTCTGGTTATTCTAGGGGCTAACACTTTTCTTGGACATGCTCTGGTTGTTTCGCTAACAAAATTCTGAATTTCAAACTGATTTCTTGGCCAATTAAAAAGCAAACTTTTCTTTTTTTTTCCACGTTTTTCTCACAAAAAACGCACTGTGTGCCTTGCGTACTTATCGATTTCGATTTTAATGCCGTTTTAACTGTTTTTCCACGCATACACCGTTAGCTGCTGCGCGGAGAGAGCGAATGACCGAGCGCGTGAGAGCGAGAGCTGTGTTATTTCTGGTTAAAACATTTTAAGGGTGTCTGCTTTGAACATAATTCAGGTTCATTCATGGCCTGCCAGAATGCTCGGCACATGCGCCAAGCCAAGTTTATTTGTATTATCCATAGCTGATAACGGTACCCTAACACTACTTGTAATACTCTAACGTCGTGGCATTTACATGGTTTTTCCAAACTAATGCACAACAATCAACAACAAAACTCGACAATGGCAAGACCTTTGCATACTGATAATGTGTGCTTCATTATCAACAAACCAAATATTGATAATATATTTTGGTATTCGAATATTGATAAGGTCAGCGGTCAAACTAAAAGTATGCAATGCTTTTTTATCGACTCTGCACGATTCTGAAGCCCAGTACGTTGAGTAGGCAAAACGCATGCCAAACTGCAACGATATCTAAAATCGATATTGAAATTCCGATGCTGTGCAGCTCCGTGCAGTGTTGCCAAATCAGCTGCTTTCTCTCATTTTCAAAATCTGATTTAGCATTTTTATTTGGCTATTTTGGAAAATACTTGAAAAGTGCATTAAGCACAGTTTAATTTATAATTGTTGACTATGTGGCAACTCGTTGACTTTTTTGTGTGCCAATTGCCAATTTTTGCTCAACCTATGTTAAGCTATTTTGAACTTAGTGCTCAGCTATTTTCTGGCAACGATAGTTGGCAGCACTGGTTCAGTGTCCCAGCGGGCAACGTGACTAAACTATCGTCACTATCGATATATCGATAGGCAACAGCTGTTTTGCGCGTTGGAATGCAATAAAACGAAAACAAATGAGCACAACGCAAATAATGGTCGGAGGAGCGGCGGCAGGTGTTAGCCATAAGCAAAACCCGTTTTCAAGTCAAGAGCAAACAAACAAAACGGTTTACAGGCGGCCAACTGTAAAAGTGGGCCGCCAGCGAAGAAGCCGCAGCAGCAGCAGCAACAGCAACAGCGCAGCAGACGTCGTCGCGACGTCAAGCCCGAGCAGCGACTGTGATTTCACTTTTCAACAGTTGGCGACCGAGCAGCAAGCAGCGAGCAGCGTTTAACGGACGAGAGACGGATTACCAAATTGCATTAGAGGCGCAGCTATTAAAGCCATTAAATTGTGCAATAAATCGAGTTAGAAATCGAGTACAGAAGATGCAAAGATTGATTATGCAACAGTTGATGCGGCACAGGATGCCGCAAGGCCACCTGTTGCGCCGCCGCAGCGAGCTCACCGCACCTGTGCTGCTCTCAACTTTCACCCAGCAGCAGCAGAAACGCTCTACGGCAACGTCAACGGTGAGCAGCAAGCAGGCAACGCCGCCGCCACGCCACGACTGGAATCGTGCCGTTAGCGAAGCGGAACGCATTGTCGGCTATCCCACATCCTTTCTCAGCCTGCGCTGGCTGCTCAGCGACGAGATCGCCAATGTGGCGCTGCACCTGCGCAAGCTGGTGGGCAGTGCGCATCCCCTAATGAAGACAGCCAAGTGAGTAGGCGCGGCAAATATAAGTGTGTGTGCAGTGTTGCCAAACGTCGAGCCTAAGTCAAATGTTAACAGGAGAGAACGGCAAGCCGAAGATTAAATACCCTTGTAAAAGGTTGACTTACGACCTTGCGAGACTTTGACGCACGACCTTGCAAATATGTGAGCAGAATAGTGAAGTGAAAAAATAATTAATATTGCAGCAGCAAGACGGTTGTTAAAGCTGAAGGACTCCTTTTACTGATCAAGAAAATATTTATAAACTGTATTCAATCGGAGACGTCGCAAATTTGATGACACACTTATAATACCCTCTACAAGTGTATACAAATAGCTAAATCAGTTAAAAGTTGGGCAGATTCTCAAATCTTTCCGGCTGCTGACAGCTGAAAATAGCTACATTTAGCTGGATTGGCAACACTGCATAAACTTCTGGTTACCCTTTGATTGATTCTCCTAATCTCAACAGGCATCTGCTGTACAATGGCAAGAACACGATGCAGGCCTGGGGTCTGATCGTGTTGCTGGTCTCCAAGGCAGCTGGACATGCGCCGAGCATACCGGATGTGGAGCAGGATAAAAGCGCTGGCGTCCTCCATTCGCAGCGCGCCCTCGCCGAGGTCACGGAAATGATACGCATCTCGCATCTGGTGCACAATGTGAGTACCAGCTAAGCAGCAGCAGCTTATGATCTCTCGCTTAATCAACTCGTCGATTGTTTATTCGTAGAGCGTGGTCAATTTGCAGTCGGGCACGCAGGCTGGCCAGGATGTTAGCACCTACGATGACATGTCGTTTGGCAATAAGATTGGCCTGCTCACCGGCGACTATCTGCTGGGCCATTCCAGCGCCGAGCTGGCGAATCTGCGCAATCAGGAGGTGGTCGAGCTGATCTCGTCGGCGGTGCGTGATTTTTCCGAATCGGAATTCATTGGCGAACGCGACGAGCAGAACAATCCGCTGCCCTTTAAGCCCGGCACATTCCAGCGTCCCTCGCTTACCGTGGGCGTGGACTTCAACGAGCACGACGTGATGACGCCCATGCCCATTGGCCAGGTGCTGGGCAATCCGGAGCAGGAATGGGAATGCCGCAACATACTCAATGCGGGCAGCCTGCTGGGCAAATCCTGCCAGGCCTCACTCAAGCTGGCCGGCCAGAGCGAGCAGATGCAGCGCCATGCGTATCGCTTTGGCAAGCATCTGGCGCTGGCCTGGCAGGCATGCCTCGATGCCGAAATCTTTCAGTGCCCCACACTGCCGCTGGATACGACCTTCAGTTTGGTCAGCGCGCCGGTGCTGTTCCATCTGGAGCACGATCCCAGCCTCTACGCACTGATCGAGCCGGGCAAAAAGTCCGTGGAACTGATCGACTATGTCCAAATACACAAGGCCGTCATAGCCGGACCGGCGCTGGCCAAGACCAAGGAGCTGCAGTGCAAGCACACGGCAGCTGCGCTCAGTGTGCTGCAGCATTTTCCGGCCACGGATGCACGCCAGGCGCTGGAGAACATCATTCTGGCCATGCAGGACTTGTGACGCACAGCGCACAAATGGCAGCACACGAACGGGTTCAGGGTAATAGCATAATGACATTAGCTTAAAGTGAACGTTAATCTTAGGATTAAGCTGGGCAGACAGTACAACAAGACAAAGACAAACCCAGCTCCGACTTGGGTTTAGTTTCTAATACTATGTGGGAATTTAAGTGATGCATAGGGTGCAAATTGTTTAACATTATTAAATATTTATATTTATTGCATCCTCTTTACACAACTAATAAATCTAACAATTTTTATTTATAAGTTTGAGGGCTGACGATTTAAAGCTTCATTTTTTTTTACTGGAGTTGAGCGCGTGTCGTGTTCTCTTTAGGGACACGAACAAGCACGACTTTAAGTATCATAATAGAGATATTATATATTTATAAAAGCTAATGAAAATTATATAAAATTTCCATTTGGGATCTATAGTTCCATAGACAGCTATATGATATGGCGACCCGATCATGCAGACCTTTAAGATAGACCTACTTAGTATACTTTCTTTATACCCTTTACGAGTTCGTAGATATATGTATTTTATCGTGAGCAAAAGTAATCTAAAAGTCGTGCGTGTCTTTTTCGAGTTCGTGTCATGTAAACTCGTTCCCATCTCTATATTCTATTCATATTTCCGATAGTGCATGTTTTTTCGTGTTCGTGTCGTGTCAACTCGTGCCCATCTCTACCTTCAATTAATATTTGTTCGTGTTCGTGTTCGTGAATTGTCGCAAAATGCGACACGCGCCCAGCTCTACATGGAAACTGTACAAAAAGGACTTTAATCAGCGGCAGGTTATGCGCATCAGGATCAGCTGCGGGCAACGCTCGTATTCGAAATACTGTGGAAAGTCGAGCGGGAGCTGCTCCATTAGCCACGGCTTGTGCGCCGTCTGCCTGAGAAAGTGCTCCCACATGGGCGCCACAGAGTCGCAGTCCTCCAGGGTGAAGACGTAACGCTTCTCCATGGCCACAAAGATGCACTTGGGCCTGCCCGACTGCTGGCCACGTGCAAAGATGTGCTCCATGACGGCCACAAAGGCATCGGTCAGCGTATCCTCATAGATGACATCCGCTGCCATTATCACATCGCTGGCATCAATGGCGGCGAGGAGCTCAGGGCTCAGCTTGGACTTGGATGCCAGGAAGTCATACTCGAGCACCGCCACCTGGCCACGGAGCAGCTGGGCATTGCGCTGGACATTGCTCCGCATTAGCTGCAGTATGCTGCCGAGATTCACATCCGTGCAGTAGACCTGCCCGCCGTTGTGCATGGCGGCCGCAATGCTGGTGAGTCCCACGCCTGCGCCCAGCTCCATGAGCGTCTTGCTGGCCAGCTCTTCACGCTGATGGAACACATAATCAGCCAGCAGCAGCGCACCGCGCCACACCTGCAGCCCCACCAATTTCAGCTCGGTGGCATCGGAATGCTCAAGTTCAATGGTGCCGCGCCTGGGACGCTGCACCTCGAGGTCACCATCGTTGTCTACAGTTGCTTTGGCGTTGTCATTTCGTGCGCCAGGATAACGAAAACGGAATTTGGAGACAATGTGACCGTCTGCACTGCACTCTGTCTGATAGTTGGTCTCACTGTAGATTTCCGACTTGACCGTGTACATGGTGAGGGTGTTGTGCTACACATTTAACTAATAATTCGCCAGATTTGCTGGCAATTTGCCAAAATCGTAAATAAGCAAGCGACATTGACAATTTTTATGCTTGGGTTAGCGACGCTACATTAAATTAGAGCTGAGCAACATTGGCGTAACTGTGACTGCATGCAGAGAGTAACAGGTATACACAGTCTGTTATTAACAGTCACAGCTGTGAATATAACAGTCAGTGTGCAAGTATAACAGTCAGTAATTGAACTGTTGGCTTAAAGTTTTCTTAAATATCATTTTAGATAATACATATTAACATTGCTTAATATATAACATTAATATTTGGAAGTAACAAAAATGTTCACTACGACTGTTAAATCAGAATGCCACCAATCTCTACATTAAGTGTGGCCGAAACAGGTTAACGCGCATATACCAACAACTTGGCGCAAAACTACCAGCTTATAAACCCTTGCAGCCCTGACTTGTGAGCTATGATCTATGCACGATCAGGAACTATTTGTTGTGCACAATCCAAAGAATTTAAACAAAACTATCATTCAATTATGTGCTTTGAGTGAGCTGCCATTTTATATATATAAATTACAGCCTAAAGAAACATTTTTGCAACAGTCTGCTTACTATTAATTATCACGTTTATCACGCTTTGTTCGAACATCTAGCACATTATGTTAACTCAATAATGGCCTTGCTGCGTATAAACGCAGAAACTCTCGTTACTGCCATTTTGAGCATTACGTGACCATATTGAGTACAACAGTACCATTTTGAGTTTAACATTACACTTTGTACATTAGCGTGTCAACGCAATCTTTAGGTGGAAAAAATTATTACAAGTCGTTGTTATAAAGTGCAAAAATACGGCAGTGCTGTGCAGTGCAATTAGCTAAAAAGAAAGTTCAGTGCATCAAAACACAACACACAATTAAAAGCTAAACAAAGCAAGCGTGCTGCCCAATTCTTATCACCAAGCCCGAAAGTGTCACCGCCAAGACGTACGTGCGAAAAATGTTTTGGGACAAGGGTTATGCGCCCTCAGCCAACATAGAGGCGCTGCTGGAGAAGGAGGTGCGTACCGATCTCGGTTGTTGTTGTCTTTCTCTGTGTGCGTGTGTGTGTGTGTGTTTTTTCAATAAAAGTTTTGCAAATCTATAGAACTCCACGGTTGAGGAATTTCTGGACGAGGAGGATATACTGCAGGAATGCAAAACGCAAAAAAAGAACCTGGTTAACTATTTTACACGGCCCGAGGTAATTAGACGACTCGTCGAGCTAATCACAACGGAACCCGCGGAGGATCTGCCCATGGCGCAGCGTTTTCGCTATGCAAACATGTCATGTGAGATACTCACACTGTAAGTAACCCCCCCCCCCCCCCTACACGAGAGCCACAGCAGCTCATCCCACCCCACCCCACCACACTCCACCCACCCGTGCCCACATTTACTGATTTATTTTCGATTTATTTGGAATCCCATGCAGCGGCCTGCCGTCCCTAGATGAGAAACTGCTGTCGGATGCGGATACCCTGCAATTGCTGTATTCATATCTGGAAAAGGAACCACCGTTAAATCCATTGCTATCATCGTTTTTTAGTAAAACGTTTAGCATGCTTTTTACCAAAAAGCCTGAACAAGATTGGTTTTTGTATCAACACATGTGCCTACAACTTTTGGAGTATATTAAATTGCAGAAGAACTTTTTGGATTTCATTTGTAAACACTTCGACACACCGGTCATACCCGATCTAATAATGCAAATGATGAAGGACATCGATGGTGGTCAACTGAAGCGCAACCTATACGAAGTAACAACAAAAAAAACTTCTCTCTTCGGCAAGCCGAAGATGAAATACCCTTGAAGAATAGTTGTTTACCTTTGGACGGGTTTGTGAGGAGGCTTAAGGAGGATACGAAGGATATTTAAAAAAAAAACTAGATAGCTTTTCATACAGAAAGATTCGATCAATCGATGCAATGACAGCTTTATGATATAGTGTTCCGATCCGACTTGTTCCGACATATGATCCTCCTGCAACAGACGGACCTCAATTGTTATATCTACCTCGACTGTTGAAACTTGGAGCGGGAGATGCCTTCTTCTATGAATTCCACATTTCATTCCCAAATTATTAGACTTTCTACAAGGGTATAATTATACATTTTGTAATAATTGGGGCCTGTGCCGGATCAAGTTTTATTTTAACTGCAAATTAAAAGCACAGTTAAGGAACCGCAACTAGGCCAGCTGCTTGATAACTTTCTAAATATACCCGCCTAATAAATTTATTTTTGATTTTTCTAGTGGTTAACTGAAGATAAAATTGTTGAGAGACTGATTGCAATATTGCGTAATCCTCAAGAGACCGATAAACATGCAAATGTTGCGGACTTTTTCTGTGATCTTATCAACCAAGGTCGTCTTATGCGGCAAACCGAGCAGGAGAACGACTCGTTTGAGCCAGCGTTCGATGGCTCAAATCCCATATTGCGTACCATTGAATCCGCACAGACAATTGAAGCCTTGTTAAATGTGATTTTGGAACCAAACGCTCTAGAGAGCGCCATCTTATCAGGAATATCGGTTGTACTTACGCTTATCAAGCCCATTACATTCACGTGAGTCAGCCCAACTGCTACGCAATTATTCCCTAAATATAATCTCTTATCTCTTTGTTGTTTGCAGTGATGAGCCGAACTCGGATCGCCAGCGTTTACTGCAGAAACGTGAGCGCGAATTTCATCAGGAAGTGCAGGAGACTGTGATTACGGTTATAGCGCCACGCCTACAGGAATTTGTGCATGTGCTGAAGAATCCGCCCGCGGTGTGTTTGTTGTGACCCATTACCCAAAAACTAGAGCTCTGCATCGGTTACTTCATTTGCATCGACTGACTCGAGCCTTATCGAGCTATTCGAGCTAATTATTATTATTGTTATTTGATTCTTCAAAACCGATGAACAAAGTTCGAGCTGATCGAGACAGCGAGATGTTCGAGCTAAACGTGTTTGTGTTGTGCCAGACAATACATGTATGTACGATTAGTTCGAACGAATTCGTTCGACTCGGTTTCTTGTCTGCAACTCAAACAGATCGAGCCGCAACACAACTGACTCTTGACTCGCTCGATCGAAATAAGTGTTCGAGTATCCGAAACGCGTTTTGCTTGAATCGATGCAGGGCTCTATCCGAGGCTCCACAAAACACCTTTTAAACCCCATTCTCAAATATATGCTTGCAGAAACCGAGCCTGGAAACGACCGCGGCGGTGCTCTCGCCGCCATTTGGCAAGACGCGCCTTCAGGTTTGCCGCGTCTTCACCGCACTGCTGGAGACCAAGCACGAGACCATACAAAAGGCGTAAGTAAAAGCTGAGCTAAAAGCAACAGCATGCATCAATTGACACTAATCCTGTTCCCCTTCTGCCCGCAGCATCTGTGCCACAGACTACTTTGCTCTGCTGCTGGACTATTTCAAGGAGTACTGCTGGAATAACTTTCTGCATAGTGAGCTGGAGAAGGCATTGCATCTGGTGTTCTACAATGAGCTGTCGAATAACAACACCACCTCCACTGAGTGCACCGATATATTCCAGGATGATTACATATTCAACTGCCTGATGAAGGCCACGAATGATGCCTTGCGGACTGAGGTGGAAATGAAGAATGCCTTAAACGATGTAAAGCGTGCAGAAGGCGGCAAGGATAACCAGGCATCGGACATCGAATTCGAAGCTGCAGCAGCACAGCAGGAAGCAGCAGCAGCCGCAGCGGCTGAAAAGGTTGACGAAAGCGAGACTGAAGCAACAGCCAACACGCAGGAGAATCACATTGAGCACAATTCTGCTGATGATGAAGCTGTTGCTGTTGCTGTTGCTGACGCTGACGTTGCATCTGTTCCTGATGATAGCCAAGCAGTAGCGAATACGACGGCTGATGCAACGCAGCCAACGCTCAACGATCTGGACCAGACCAAAGCGCCAATCAACAACCCGCCCACAGAGATGCAAACCTATGTGAGTTGAGCGGTTCTCTAGCTTAGATCCCATTTTGATTGTATTCGATTTCTGGTTTATATAAGACCTGTAGCTCAGATTTGATTAGACGATTTTATTGTCGCTTCTTTGCCCGGGCGAAACTTAACCCATCGAATATTTGACTCCATTTCCACTAAGTAGGGGGGATTTGGCAAAAAGTGTGAAACGAATTTGAACAAGTATCTATAAATATAAGTTTCAGGCCTATTTCTTTCCACACATGAGGTTGCAATATCCCAGTTCTTTATTCTACTTATTCATTAATATTTGAACGATTATTACAGCTTATTGTCAATTGCCAACTGGTGTCCAAATTGGTCAATTACTGGCGGCACAATACAGAGGCGCAGTAAGTAGAAAGCAGCTGTCCAGAGAAATGCCCGGATTAACTCACATAACTATATTTACTCCCACACACATACAGATCCACCGAGAAGGGTCGACGACTGGGCTATATGGGGCATCTGATCAAAATCCTAAGACATATTACGAATTGTATATCAGAATCTGAACATATCGCTGCCCTGATTGCGTCTAGCTTTGGCAATGAGTCGGAGCTGCAGCTCTGGCAGTCGCTGATCGACGCCGAGGAGGGTGAATTTACGCTGGCGGTATCCCAGCAGAACAAGCTGCTGGCCAATTGCAATCCGCACGAGGAGAATGAGTATAATGCGGGCAACTCCAAGGATTTTCTGGGCGAGGCCAACACCTGGGACACTGGCGCGCTCTCGTACAGCAATGTTTGCTACAGCGATCTGGATAATACACTGCAGGACATTGTCTTTACCATGGACAATGAACAGAATCTGTTTCAGTTTGGGGGCAACATCGACGACGATGATGATGACGATGATGAGCAGCACGGCGGCAGCAGTGGCGATGGCCATGGCCATGGCCATGGTCATGGTCATGGCATGCTCACCAAGAATTCCACAACGCTCAACAATCTGGCCGCTGATCCCTGGGACATGGATGTACAATTCGCTGACATGACGGGCATCTCCGATGCGGATGACAATCTGGTCAATGCCGGCACCGCCAGCTGGGGCACCGAATTCACCAGCGACAATTTTGCCGATTTTGATGCACATTTCAGTAGCTTCGGCAGCGATCTGGGCTTGCCGACAACACAGCCGCCGGCAACGGATGCTGCAGCAGCACAGGCGCCCACTGAAGCGCCCACGAGCAACAGCATTGAGGAGCATCGAACTGAAATGAACGAGGACGATGTGTCCATGACTGCAGCAACAACAACAACAACCACAACAAACAATTCAACCACCAATGACGACGACCGGCAGGCAGAGTACGACAACAATGCCAACGTGGAGAAAGCATCCAGCGATAAGCAAAATGAGCTTAACGATGCCGAAACAGCTGGCACAACGGCTGCCACGGCAGCCACATCGATTGTGAGTCGACTGCAATCGGTGCTGCTCGATGGCGAGGAGGATTACGAGGACGACGAGGGCATGTGGACCAAGCCGTTGGGCGGCGGCAGCAGCAATCAGTCTGAATTGGCAACGGAACAACCCACACCCATAACGAATGGACCCAGCAAAATAACCGAATTGTAAGCACGGAAGTTGGAGGAATTTATTCCCTTTCTTCCATAAGTTCATATGCTTAACCCATTCAGAATGGGTAAAGTAAGAGTGTAAAGTGAACTATGCAGCTGGTAGATGTAGAAGTTTTCGTTACCAAACTCTATTTAAATTCTTGATAAGCATAGCTAAGTTAATTTAACCATGTAAATGTCTGACTATCTTTCAGAGAGTTCTCGCTTTTTTACCAAAGCACAAAGCAGGTTTCATTTTGCTCGATGAACGTTTCAGGAAATCTGTATTAATTTATGCTAATTAATATTAATTTGCAGTTTCGGTTTATTTTATAGTATGTATATCGCGAGAAAGGAAAGGTTCTCAGGTCATAAGTCCGAAATGTATGAAAGGTTTTCGTATATGATATCCCGTGATATCCCTTAATCCATAAATATTGATATGTAGTCTCAGTTTTATTGAGAATATTTCAAATTTAAATATTGTATGTAGGTTTTATGAATTTTTTTTAATTTAACGCAAAATATCGAATTTCAGATTCGCAGAGTTTTTTAGAGCCTAAAGTAACAGATTTAGGAAAGAGGATCTCTTCGTGCTTACACAGATTTCACAATTCGGCTGATTGTTTGTCTTTTGCAATATGGATCTCTGATTTCCATAAGTTTATGTAGAACCCATAAATTATGTTGGTAGTAGGTAAAACTATTTATTCCCAGCACTGCAATTGGAATCACATGCATCGGCTTAGACTGATGGCGACTGCAGCGTCCACTCCAGCTAGAACGAGCCAATCTGGACTTGTGGTCTATTCAAATGTTAAATATAAAATATTTATTCATTTTTGGTCTATTTGCAGCAATCATGCCAACGATAACAACAGCAGCAGCAGCGGCGCCGGCGAGGCACGCGACGACAGCAACATCACAGCTGGAACGGAGCAGTTGGTGGAGCAGCCAAAGAAGTCGGAGAGCATAGCTGCGGCTGCCTCAAAAGCTGCGGAGATTGCAACAACGACAACATAAATGTGCCGGCACACTGAACACCACACACCCCCCAAACACACACACACACACACCCAAAAACACACGCACATGCAGCCAGAGAAACGACGTCAGCAACTGCAATTTGTTAGCATACATAAAAAATGTGTCGAAAAGTTGTCAAACATAAAAAACAAGCCTTTGATTTGCTCTTTGAACATTTCTTATACATAATCATGCATACATATTTACATATATATATATATACATATACTACATGCTACTACTACAATACGTACATACTATATATATATATAGAACTGATGTACAAGCCTATATATATATATATATACAAACGATTTGTGTATTAGTAAAGCCCGAGCCCGCCCAATTCAAGAAAAAAAAAGAGAAAAAACGAAAAAAGAGAACTTAGTAAAAGAGAAATGAAAGATTGGAAAATATGTTGTTGATTCCTTCTACTACTCGCTCGTCGTATTGCCAATTTCCTATTTATTAAAATAAGCTGTAATTTCGTTTGTATAACTCGATTAGTTACCATATTCAATACTCTCTCAATGTGTTAAGACAACAAATGAGCATTACTTCAAGTAAAAACAATAAATTTGTTTGTTTTTTTTTTTTATCAGTTTGTTTTTAGCTTGTTTTGCAAGATGTACTATTATATATATGTTTATTGTTTGTATTACTTGGAGACTTGTATTAATTGTATGTATTTTGAAACAAAGCAAAACCAAATATTGAAATCTTTGCTACACACACACACACACACCACACACACCGCACACACTGCACACACATGCTGCAAGCACAAAATTTATGCAGGTGTATTAGTTATATATTATATACTATATGCCCTATGCCATTCTATTTGTTGTACCAATTTATAGTTTCACCAAAAAATGTATTCAACGTCGAAAGTACAAAACTGAGAACTACAAAAAAACGACAACAGCATTTGCCACACACACACATACACACACACACAGACACACACGAATACAACATATGTATAATACCCTGTATAATCTTTTTATATTTTTTAACTGGTATGTGCAAATCTAAGAAGACATTTTTAATATACTTATATATACATACATATATATATATATGTGTATTTAATATTATTATAATTTTTGCAGCTTTGTTGTTGTTGTTTCAAATTTTGTCGTTTGCGTAAAAATAAAAAAGAAAGCAACAAAAACAATTGAACAGAAAGAACAAAACCGAAATGATAAACAGATATGCCATCTTTTGCTTCCAAATAATTACATTATAATTATGTTTAAAAAAAAAATAAAAGAGAAAACAAATTACTTGAAAAGTAAAATTGATGTTTATTTCACACAATTACTAATAACAACAACAAAAAAACACATCACATGTTTAATTTAAATTAATTGTTATGCATAAAGTTTATATATATTAAATAAAATGATAAACCACTCGAAAGGTCGATAGTTGAGGACGCAACATATCAGCTCAACCGTACTATAAAGCCCAAAATCTTGGGATTTGGGATTTGAATAATAAAAAAAAAAAATTAAATAAAAATATAATTTAGTCGTAAGCATCAGCAACTTGTTTAACAACAAATAAAACGAGGCTTGGCATGATGAATGTATTGTACGATCTAACCAAAAAAAACAAACAAAAAAAAAAACCATACAAATGCTTGCACAAATTTCAAATCGCTTGCTTTTATTTTTGCAACAAATAAGAAAAGAAAAAAACGAATGAAAAATAAGTAAAACATAGAAAATGTTTAAACTATCTCTGATGTAAACTGTGATAATTAAATGAAGTTGCAGGGTATTTGATAAAAAAAAAAAAAAATTAAAAACGAAAAAAAGATTAACAGATTTAAGTTCAACAAATTGTGAATTGTAACCTAACCAAGTAAAACCCATTTTGTTGGCCTTTACACACACACACACACACACACACACACACGCATACACGCACATCATTTCTTATACAAAAACAAACAAAAATTAACCACAAATCCATTTAAATGAACTAAAACAAACAGCAATAAGAGTACAGCAATAATGTCCCATTAATGAAGTCTATTATAATGATGTCTAGGAACCGCATTCGGATATAAAATTCACTTTAATCTCTACTATAAATAGAATCTGTAAATCCATTTGTAAACTATATGTAATATGCATAAGTAATTGCAAAATTGATTTTATTTTTGTCTTCCCTGCCCTCGACAACCAAAGCTTTATGTTTTATGTCTAATAACCAAGAACCGAGTCCTTCCCTCGTGCATATGCCTTACCTAATTATTGCATAATGTAAACTTCAATGAAAAACTTTCGAATTCAATCGGAAAGGGTTAACATGGAAAACGTGTAGATGATTAAGCGGAAGCATTGTTGTAAACCTTATAAGTAGAGATAGTTTTACTAACATACTGTGTGTCTTTTAAATCTTAAGCAAGCATTCACCTTGGACAAACTCTACAATACAATAAAAAGTATTCAGAGTATTTTGAATTTAAGCTGATTTACTAAAAAAACAAAAAACAAAAAAACTAAAATAAAGTAAAGAAATTGTAGACAAAGTCTTGTGCGCAGCTTTAAGCAATTTGTTAAAGTGCAAACAAATTGAAACTTAAACAATAAGTGAAAAATAAGAAAAAGAAACAGAAAATAATATTAATTAATTACCAAACGTCCAATGTTTTGCATGCGATCCATGCATAAACAAAACTAACAACAATTGTGAACATTAAAGTCTTCAAAAACAGTTTTGAGATCTGCTACTAAAAACACTTATACTCGTGCATACACTTGCATATTAATATTATTAATATATATACACGCATATATCTATATGTAAACAAATTAAGAGTGAAAAACAAAATAGAATTTGTACTTTATAACTTTTGTCTGTGTGTGTTCAGCAGTTCAGTATTTCAATTAAGCCAAGTTAATAAAATCCAAAATGTACTAAAACCCAGGTTTCCCATTGAAAACCAAAAAAAAAATCAAAAAAAAATAATCTACAATCATAAGCGTAGTTACAAGAAAAGAGCATTAGCAAAATTACAAAAAGCTTGAAAAAAAATTCGTAACTCTTTAATTCTTAAAAGATGAACAACCAGCGGGAACAACAACGATGAGCACGCAACTGTAATACAACCAAAACTTCATATATATATATACTATATACGAGTAAATTATACATACAAACCCCCTTCCCCCCTCCCCCTACATAAGATATACATATAATACATGCGTACATTTATTAAGGTAACTGTAATAAATGTTGTTAACACAACCCTTCAATTCCATAATCATATTTTGTTAATGCGAAATTGACAAAAAAAAAGAAAGTAAAGTAATGCTAACCGTAATTAGTAAATAGTAATAAACCGAACCCAAGTGTGCTTCATATAAGAATTTATGTTACGATTTTTACAATGCAATAAAAATTCCAATATTCCTCCCCTCATAAGCTAGTATGTACAATATATATATATACATATATATGTATGTATTCCCTAAATGTCTTAATTAAGTATTTACGATCGGTGTCTATGTAAACCCCATATAACGAGTAGAGACTTCAAAGCCAACACAAACGTATCGTCAAATATCCAAAATAAGTAAAGAAACAAAATTAGCTAAAACTTGCATACATATATATATATCTATAACGGTTTAACTATATATAAGTGCTTCAGTGATAAATGTTACACACACCCAAACCAACACACACACACACACACACACACACCATATTTGTATTATCATTCTTGCTGCTAAGTTTCTGATCTAGAGAAAAACAAAAACAAACTACTTGAAACAACCCCCAAGGGACACTCTGGAATAGATATTCCTTGAGGTAGTGCCTTAAAACTGTTTAAAAAGCGTGTGTTAAAACAAATTTTGTTTAAACTTTCAAAGACAAAAAAAAAAAAACAAGAAAAACAACAAAGAAATGTAATGTACTAGTTCCATTATCGAGAAACCACAATATATAGTTAACTTTATGCTCCGATCTATACTACATACATAACTATATTTAATATTATATACTTAACTTACCGTCGCATTTTATTTACCATATATACTACTCTATATGTAAATCTTGTATTTTGGACATGTTTTGCTCAACAGTTTTCTACCTGCACACACACACACACACACACACACATACACATACATACATGTATGTATACATAGTTAAGTACGATCTGCTTTGGCACAGCTAAATACATCATGTGATTGATTGCTTTGCTGTACCCCGTCAAATGTCTGAATGCCAAGTGGGAGAGAGAGAGAGTTAGAGAGTATTCATTTGGGGAATCCTGAATGTATTCATCTATTTATGTACACACTCACATATACATCATTATATGTACATGTGAGCGAGTATTAGCGTTTATTATCGAATAGAAAATACGATTTGTGCATTATTCGATGGAAATGCACCTTTGATTACGTATTAAAAATTGAATTGAATAAAGCGATTAAACAATTTGATTCATTTAGCGAGTCCTATTTTTATGTATTCTTTTCACATGTTAAATTTTTGGTATTACTTTAAGATCTATATGATTTACAAACATCCCAAGGCTATTTATGTATTATATCTATATATTTATATACAAGTGTTTTTTCTGACTAACTGGAACGAAGTCTTGGGATCGAACCCCCGCGATTATCTAATTCTTTCTTTCTTTTGTATCTGTTAATATCTGAGCTTTTTTTAATGCGACTCACCAATTGCCTGAGTCCATTCCCCTGGCTGCAGTTGGGAGTAGACAAATTGATGATTAAAACTTTAAGATAAATCTTAGCCAAGTCAAGATCGGAATTACCCCGATTATTACCCACTATGCATGCTTTTTTATACCAAATGTTGATCAAGTTTATCATCCACCTCTTTGCAAATTAAAAATAACGTATTTTTGAATATTGCCCTTCTTTGCGATTCTCATGAATTCGAGTAGGGCCCCTCTATCCCTCTGGGCACTGATTACTAGTAATTAAAAGCTTGAAATACCATAAAAAAACGAATCGTATATTTTATATTTAGATTCTCAGTTGTAAAATTGACCACATTTCCTCTTCCTCTTTCCTCTTCTCGTCCTATCACAGCCTTAAAGTGTTGATATATAAATAATCTGTGGCACGCCCTCAGCTATGACTGGGCATTCCACCGCCCGTTGTAGCTGCTGTGGCTGTTGTTGTTGCTGTTGTTGTGCTGCTTGTGGCATGTCGCGTCTCCATGTGCCGCTGCAGATCTCTGGCCCGGGCGAGCGTCTTGTGGCATATCTGACACTGAAAGCCCAGCTCCGGCTCAGCCCCAGCGACGTCCACGCCGCCGCCGCCGCCGCCGCTGGGCTGTGTCTGGAGATGGAGGCGCACGTGCTTGTTGAGATTGCTGGGATCACCGAAGGGACGCAGACAGAACTTGCACTTGAGCGGCTTGAAGCCCGTGTGTGTGCGTATGTGTATCTTGAGGCCATACTTGCGGGAGTAGACCTTGCCGCAGTAGATGCACAAATGGCCCTGCTTCGAGGCGCCCATATTGCTGACTATCGCCTCGATCTGGGCGGCCGCGTTCATCGGATGCGCCGACAGCGGTGCGCCCATCGCCATGGCCGGCAGGTACGAGGAGAGTGCACCCGGGGGCGGCGCCTGGCTAGGCAACGGCAGCGACTGCAGGGCATGGGCCATGGGTCGAAAGGCGGAGAAGCGGGTGGGCGGCGGCGGCGAACGATTGGGCGAAGCCGAGGATGTGGAAGAGGTTGCCGGCGTGGGTGACAATGTCATGCTGGTGCTGGGCGCACGTGCTGCCGACTTCAGTGCGTAATGCAAACGCATCCAGAGCAGATCCATAACGCTGCGACCGCAGCCGAGGGCCAGGTGTATCTTGAGCGGATGCGGCGTCTCAAAGGTCAGGTGGCACAGATGGCAGGTGTAGCGATTGTTGCCTAATCAACAAGAAATCTCCAATTAGCTTTGGGAAAAAAAATGTCTCGCTTTGTGTCGACTCACCCTGTATGTTGAGCGGCGTGAGGAAGGGTATGCCCATGAGCAGCACCAGCTCCTCGCCGAACCAGGCCACAATCTCATCCTCGCGCGCCACATCCCGCACCAGACGTATTCGCAACTGTCCCGCGTGCAGCTCGAACAGCGCATTGAAGCTGTAAATGTCCTCGGAGAGCTTGATCTGGCGCAACAGCGTCGCGGACAGCGCCAGCTCCCCATTGACCAGGCTGCAGTGGACACGGGCATCGCTGAGCGACGTGCCCGTGCCCCCCGTGCCCATCGAGCTGAGCAGCGCAGCCGTCGGCACGCCAGCCGAGCACGTGTCCTTGGGCGTGTACTGGGCCGTGTAGACGCCCGGCCGCAAGCTGCTCCGCGCTCGCTTAGGCGGAGCTTGGCCGGAACTTGTTGTTGTTGCTGTGGCTGCTCCTGTTGTTGTTGTCGTTGTTGATGTTGTTGTGCCGCCCGGGAGCAGCTGCTCGATGCGAAAGATCATGCTGTTGGCTCGCTTTTGGCCCTGTGCCTGTGCCGTTGTCTCATCCAGCTCCAGATTGTCGAGTTGGGACGTCGTGTGCATCGCTCGCGTTCGTAGACGATTCTGCGTTCCAATTGGAACTTACGCGCTGTTTTTATACAGGCGCGCAGCCTCCCCCCCGAGCGAACGCGTCCTGTTTGGATTTGTTACGGCTTGCAGTGTCAAAACACCGAAACTGGCGTCAAGTGCAAGAATTCCCAGCCAGCCACGGCCCAAGCTGACATTGCTACGCACTTTGCGACCATCTCGCTCGCTCGCTCGCAGCAACCAGCCCGACCGACCGACCGGGCATCCCTTTTGCCTGGTGTTGGTCCTGGTCCCGGTCCCGGTCTCGGTCTCGTTCCTGGTGCTGCGCGGCAAGTGCAACATCATGTACTCTGGCACTAAAGCACTAAGCACCAGGGCTAAGCGGGCCCCCTTTAGCAAGTGTGCGTATTCCTTTGCCTAATCCTCTCACACCCAATGCCCGGCTCTGCCCGGCACCCTTCGTCCTTTTTTCTTTTTGGCTTTTGGGCGAATGTTTTTAATTGAAATTAAACGATCGTTTGTTGTCCTTGTTCCTATTGTTGTTGTTGTTGCTGTAATGCCACCATATACAAATCGCATTCGCATCCCCTCTCTCCCCCCCTTTGCTGGCGACCCTTCCACCCTCTTTGATAATGCCTTAATATATTGGTGTGTATCGTTTTACTATTTGTGGTTTAGGGTGGGTCGTGATTTTCGACTGCCTGAGCGGCTTGCGGGCCAAAATGGGCCCAAGGCCGCACGAAATTTGAAATTCGACTTTCTGTAGAAGTTCTTGCTGATAAGGGGAAGTCGCTTTTATTTAGATGAAATTTGATTGAGCGATTCAGTAATATTAATAATATTAATATAGTATAATATAATATAATGTACAATAATATTGGTAATCCGAGTTCGAACCTCCGGCTAATCTATGGGATGTGGTAGGGATACGAAGGTCTAATAGTCTGTGCTATTAAAAAAGTAATTTTAACTATCAGCTGCATATATATTCATATATATTCATTCACAGGCTTAAAGCAGTCGATTGAATAGCGTAGTGAGCACGAAGTTAAGGGTTCAAGTCTTCGAGAAGATGAAATACAGAATATGCATGCAATTTTTTACTTCCCAAATTTCGACTTCGGCAAAACGTTTGATGAAGTTTGTGTGCAAGAAGGCAGTGTGCCTTGCGAGCCTGAGAAGTCGCTGGTTCTAATTTATATTTAATTTTAATCAATGAAAAAAAGGTTGGGAGTTTTTTCGACCCGACTGAGATCAGGTAACTGCTGCCAGCATTCTATATACTCTTTCTATGCAAAGGGCAAGCGCCCCTTTATTGCCTGGGCCCAAACCGCACAAGTTGCGAGTGCGCTCCTGTGCTGTGTAAAATATGCTACGACACTAATGTTTTCATCATTGCAAAGCCAGCAACCCCGCCGCTAATATGAGGCTATGCGATCAACAGGACAAGGCGAAAAACATGTGTTGCCAGTCACACAGTCACAGACGCGCAGGGTTGCGTGTGCCAAGGGGGGTGAGGGGGGGGGGGATGGGTTTGAGCAGCCCTTAAGTAAAGTGAGCCAAAGGCAGAGGCAGAGGCACGGAAACAGACACCTGGCTCAAGCCAATTTCAGTTTGGTGTTTGCTTGTTTAAAATAAGTGGGCCAAGACCTGTTGTTGAAAGCCGCGTTTATTGCCATTTGTTTTTTTGTTGCCGTTTAATTACTTTCTGCGATAGGCGTAGCCACCGCCGCCGCCGCCTCCACCTTGATCGTCGCAATCATGACAGCCGCCGCTGGCGGCCAGCTTATCGAGTGCCTCCTGTATCTCGACGGGTATGGGCGGCGGTGTGGGCAGATGATCGCCCTGCGGCTGGAAACCGTTCTCGTCCGCAATGTAGGTCAACGAGATGCTCTGACCCTCGGGACTGCTGTAGGAGAAGGAGCCCTCGGCCACCTGTGCCTCGGCGCCCTCGACGCCAGCGTTTTTCAAATAGCCCATCTCCTCGGCCTGGATGCCATTGCCCGTTTCATATTCGTACTTGCAAGGATTGAATAGATGAGAATTGCAGGAGGTTAAATCCACTTTACTTACCTTGTAGGAGCCATCGGTGTTCACTTTGGACTCAAGCTTGATAATGGGAATGCTTTCACCACCACCACCACCTGGTGCACCGCCGCCACCACCCGAGGGCGGCAAATAGTTCTGATTAGTCGGTGGAGGTCCATAGCTGTCGCGAGGCGGAGCAGGTGGCGCTGGCGGTGGCTTCCTGGGCGGCGCTCCATAAGCTGGTTTCGGCGCAGGCGCAGCTGGTGGTGGTTTCGGTGCTCCATAGCTGCTGCTGGGTGGCTTCGGGGCTCCGTAGCTGGGGCTGGGTGGTTTCGGGGCTCCGTAGCTGGTGCTGGGTTGTCTAGGTGCTCCATAGCTGCCGCTGGGTGGTGCAGGCGGTCGTGGCGGCTTAGGAGCTGGTGGACGCGCACTCGGATAACCCGCCGGCTCCGCTGCCACCAGGCTGCCCAAGCAGATGAGCATAACAATCAATAATGTTCTCCGTACCATATCGCTTTCTAACTGTTGCAGCTGACCGTTCGACGCTGGCCTTTTATATGGCCAACAATTGCATTTGACCACAACCTGTTGCACCCGGGGGTCAGTCACGTGCGTGGATACAAATTGCATTTGAAAATGAAAACCGAAAACTGGGCCAATGCGACTACACTGCTCGAAGTTGAAGAGAACTCTTGCAGCATAAGATATTATAGATTTTTAAATTATAAAAATTAGTAATTAATATATTATTTTTGGGCGAAGGCAAATTTGTTTCGATCTGTGGATGGGCTCATTGTGGTCAACAAAACCACAAAAGTGTGATCGTAGCCATGTAATCTTAACATGTCAACGTATTGTTAATATCGCCCTACTATACGATTCTCATTAATTCAAATATGACTTATAAGAGGGTAATACATGAATTTCGACCATTAACAAAAATTCAAACCACGTTAAAATCTGTTGAGTTTTGACCGAGTTATGGGGGTGGAAAATTTCGACCTGTGTCTATATTGGATATTTGAGGGTACCATTTGTACATGAATTTCGACCAAAAATAATGTTGCCAGATTTTGATGCAAAATTGATCTAGAGGCCAAACCATGAACAAAAATCAAAACCTTATAAAAATCGGGTGAGTTTTGACCGAGTTATGGGGGTGGGAAATTTCGACCTATGTCTATATAGGATATTTGAGGGTATCCTTTTCACATGAATTTCGACCAAATATAATGCTGCCAGGTTTAGATGCACAATTGATCTAGAGGCCAAACCATGAACAAAAATCAAAACCTTATAAAAATCGGGTGAGTTTTGACCGAGTTATGGGGGTGGGAAATTTCGACCTATGTCTATATAGGATATTTGAGGGTATCCTTTCCACATGAATTTCGACCAAATATAATGATTCCAGGTTTAGATGCAAAATTGATGTAGAGGTCAAACCATGAACAAAAATCAAAACCTTATAAAAATCGGGTGAGTTTTGACCGAGTTATGGGGGTGGGAAATTTCGACCTGTGTCTATATAGGATATTTGAGGGTACCATTTGTACATGAATTTCGACCAAAAATAATGTTGCCAGATTTTGATGCAAAATTGATCTAGAGGCTAAACCATGAACAAAAATCTAAACCACGTGAATATCGGTTGAGTTTTGACCGAGTTATGGGGGTGGGAAATTTCGACCTGTGTCTATATAGGATATTTGAGGGTACCATTTGTACATGAATTTCGACCATAAATAATGTTGCCATATTTTGATGCAAAATTGATCTAGAGGCTAAACCATGAACAAAAATCTAAACCACGTGAATATCGGTTGAGTTTTGACCGAGTTATGGGGTGGGAAATTTCGACCTGTGTCTATATAGGATATTTGAGGGTACCATTTGTACATGAATTTCTACCAAAAATAATGTTGCCAGATATTGATGCAAAATTGATCTAGAGCCCAAACCATGAACAAAAATCAAAACCTTATAAAAATCGGGTGAGTTTTGACCGAGTTATGGGGGTGGGAAATTTCGACCTATGTCTATATAGGATATTTGAGGGTACCATTTGTACATGAATTTCTACCAAAAATAATGTTGCCAGATTTTGATGCAAAATTGATCTAGAGGCTAAACCATGAACAAAAATCTAAACCACGTGAATATCGGTTGAGTTTTGACCGAGTTATGGGGGTGGGAAATTTTGACCTATGTCTATATAGGATATGTATATATGTATGTATGTATGGGTTTATGTAGTAATGTATGTATGTAACTACGAATATGTGCAAACCAAATTAAATTTCCGTTGTGCAGCCAATGAAAAATAAGGTTCTTTTAAATGCCTTACTATGCGATTCTCATGATTCCATCCATATAAGGCCGGCAGGTTTTCATGCTCTTATTGCAAGTTGCGTTGTCAATGTTAATAGGTTTATTTGTACTCGAACTCTAATTTAAATTTACTGTCTTGTTTTTTCCTGCTTTACTCTACATAAGTAACTCTTCTTTCTTTTTTCTTTCAGGAATATGATTGATGTAGCTGTGTATTTTTGGGTAAGTGCACATTTGGAAACATCTTTTTAAAAATTATATTATCTTCTACTAAATTATATTTCAACTGAAAAAGCTTGGGAAATTGGATAAAAGACCTTTTATTTTTATGATATTTAAGGCCAAAAAAAAAATAATAAAAAATTTAATTACGAAAAAGATTATAATATTGTACTCAAAAGAGAATAGGACATTCTAAAAGTCCCAAAGAGAGACTTTACCTTTTTTTTATGTTAGCTTCTTATCTAAGGATAGTTTGTGTAACACAAAAATTACAGCCCAATTGCTAATTCGAACAAATGATTAAATTCTAACAAATCGAGTATAGAATTCGGGCTACAACAGAAAATCTTACAGTTCCGCAACTAATCGCTAAAAACAACAAAACCAGGCCAGGCCGCAAACAAAACTTTTTTAATTCAAAGGCAATATTCGGCAAGGGCCAGGGAGAGGTAGAGGGAGGGGGATGGTGCAGTTAAGGATCAGGCACGGCACAGGCAACACCTGCAGCAGCAACCCCCCCCGTGTGTGTGTGTGTGCGCACACTCATCTAATGCACTTTGCCTGTCCTTACCCAAAAAAAAAAGAAGAAAGATAAGGGGGGAGGGGGGGGGGTGCTAAGCCCCTGGCGAACAGTGCGGAGTTGTCGGCTTTAGTCAATCGTCTATTAACTTTTTGCCGAACCACCTTCATCATTTGCCAGCTCCGGCTGTGATGCCGCTAATATTGCCGCATGCCAGGGTGGTCGTCCGTCGTCCTGGCATCGAGCCGAGCCTAGCTAATGGCAATGTTGTTGCCAGCTTGTTCTACTTGTAATGTGCTGGCGCGCAGCTGACGGATTCCCAGGCTCTGTGGATTTTTGAACCTGTTCGATAGCGTCAGCTGTTGCCAGTTGCTGTGCCACCAAGCAACCACCAACCAGGCCAGCTCAGCCACCAAGCAACCAATCCCTGCCAATCCCGGCCAATCCCGGCCAATCCACCAACTAACCACCACCGCACACCCGTTTCGCTGGCTCGCACCAAACGCTGCACCGGCTGCCTAAACCAACAATTGTCGCTCCCCGTCCACCGATTTTGCAGATTTCCATCTACGCATCCGGTGGTCATTTCGCTACGCACCCATTGCGCATATTTCGCGCCCGCATTTGCCAAAACCAAACCCAACACAACCGGGAAAATCTCAAATTCATAAAGTGCATTTTGACAGAGCGCAACGATCTAATTGCGATTCCTGTCGCTTGTCGACCGCTGAATATTAGCCGAGTCCTCGATGGCTTAGGGGTTCTTCAGCCTCAGTCCGGTCCGATTAAGTTCTTCAGCACGCCTAAATAAACATTTAGATGCAGACTCTTTGATAAATTATCCGCAGCCCACATTGACAGCCCGAATAGATGTGCATGTGTGTTTCTCAATCACGGGAGCCGTAGCAACTGTTGACTAGGCTAGTTTCACTAAGCGGGGTTCATCAAAGTTTAACTAAAACGAGAAGTAAGCATATCTTTGTTATGCCGAAGATCTAATACCCTTATGAGAATCTCGTAAATAATACTAAAGCTCTTTTGTAAAATAAAGCTAAGTTGTAAAATATAATATTTTGCCATGATATAACCTTCATTTAGATCGATAGATAGATAGTAGTCTGATCCGACATATGTATTTCCTGCAACAGAAAGTCGGACCTATGCAAAGCTAAAAGACGCTAGCTTTAAAACTGAGAGACTAGTTCGCATAGAAACATACAGTCGGATAGTCAGAGATATGGCTATATCGACTCGACTGTTGATGTTGATATAGAATATATATACTTTATGGGGTCGGAGATGTCTTCTTCTATGCGTTACACATTTCATAACATAATTATAATTACCTCTGCAAGCGTATAAAAAAAAAGTTTTGAATATTGCCCTCCTTTGCGCTTCTCATGAATTCAAGTACGGCATATATATCCCTCTGGGCACTGATTATCTACTAGTTATTAAAGGTTTGGAAAACCATAAACAACGAATCGTATATTTTAGATTTAGATTCTCAGTTTGAACAGGATTTGAATTCCAAATTACACCTTACTATATATGATTGAAATCGATTTGTAGACATAACTCAAGAGTTATAAGAAATAAACCAAATTATGGGTTTTCGTATGGTATATGCAGATTTAAAATAGTTCACGTTTTGGATAAATTATAGACAATATATAAATTATATTCAATAACAAAAATCTTGTTAGATACTTTCCTTATTTTAGAGCTATGGCCTTTAGTATATATAGACTTGCCATATATAAGCCCTGAAAATATATTGATGATCGGACTATAAGCACCGAAGTTAATCAAGACTGCATTTCCTCATACATGGTGTGGGGCAAAGGGAAAAAGAAGCTCAGAGGTGTTTGTTCGTGCGTATGTTTGTGTAAAGAAGAAAGCTGTGGTTAGGGTATCTCCTAGTCAGGCACTCCCAATTAGACCAGTCTTAACTATTTTGAGAAGGAATTCTATACATATTTTGATTAATACAGTTGTTACATATATATAAATACATAAATATTTAAAATAATAATTAAATACTATTAAAATACTATTTCGGCTTCTAAAATGTTAAAAAAGATGAGTACATGATATTTTCACAAAAAAGAAAAGAAGCAAAATAAAAAAAATAGTTGAACAAAAGCATTTTAAATGCAGAATCTGGTTTCTGTTTAATATCAGTTTCAAGGCTTCAAAAGTTTATTGGGGCTTAAATCATATTGCACCATCTATTAAATTTAGAATTTGAGTAAAGAAAAAACAAAGCGAAAGTTTGTCCAATGAGCGCAACACAATGTTTTAATACTCGAGCTGAATTTATTGATCGTATAGCTAGAGATGATTTAATTTAAAGTTTAAATACGACAAGAACCCGCTTCAAATGTTGTAGTTAGCTTTCTTCATATGT